GAAATGGATCTCTTAACGACTTGCTTGGACAGTGCTTTGGAGATGGAGGTGTCGTCACGAAAGATGATGGGACTTGTCACATCCAGCCAGCATCACGAGCGGGCGGCGGAGCTCACCGGGAATCCTGCCACGATGGCAGAGTGGGTACTCGGTCTGCTGCATAACGGTTGACCCTTAATTCTGTCAATCGTATACGAGGCGGGTAGCAGTTGATCGGCTCTTGTTGAAGTCCTGTCATCTGCCTGCTGCCCCCCCGAGTCCTGGACATCACCTCGCCACCACACTCTGGGCTATATCGTGGGATGAACACCCATATGCAGATCTGACACCAGGATGGAGGTGAATAGCCCCTTTCACACCACTTGTACGTTCTTTTCAACCGCAGCATGCGGTGGTGCATACACTTGGGCGTCTTCACATGTTGTTCTCACAGAGGGAAATGGAAGGAAAGTCGCGCATGGCGTCGGCCGAGGATGGGACGCCTTACTTCACATCTAGCTGTTTCAGGGGTGGATATTTCTAGAAGCCATTCTTGACTTCTCATGAAGCCCACATTAGACGCTTTCGTTCTGCTTCTCCATGCCCAATCTCATCGCCGTAAACCAACATTACTAGGAGGCAGTTTCAACTCTTGGGCCTCTTTGGATGTTGGGCCTAGATAGAACCCATGACGGCGCTGGGATCCTAACTTGCAGGAGACAGGAGACGGCACCCCCTCGCAGGTGTGGGAGTTGTGGAAGCAACCGGCGCGGCATCGGAGGGAACCCAAGGTAACTGGCCGTTATAGCAGTACTTTCTTCTGCGCCAAGTAGCCAGTCAAAACGTAGTCAAAACTGCCTGAGGAGTTACGATATCCACATATGCCGCTGCTCGGGGGGCGATTAATATTCAGCGAGGGGGCATGAGGGGCTATCTCTCTCACCAGGACTGTTGTGCTTGATACGACGTCTTGTCAGGTAATCATTCCTTTCTCGTATTGATTTGATGTCAAGAAATATCCATCTTCTGATAGGATGCAACCCTGGATCCGCGATGACTCCTTGTGGAGTGGAAGAGTTTATGTGAAGGAGTTAAGGCAATTTGCACATCGAATTATTCGACGCTTTGCTGAGGCCACTTACACCTACCTGATATTGACACGAGTGTAAGAAGAAATAGACTAAGCATGTGGGCTGGCATCTGAGCGTGCAGTGAAAATCATAAAATGGTACGTTCCACTCTCCGGTACAAACCCTTCCGGGCGTCTGTTCGCCCATTGCAACGCTTGAAACATTTTTCTTTGGTTCCCCTTCTCGGTGAAAAAATAAAAAATATTGTTCGCACAGGAACAGATCCCCAGTTGGGAACTGACGATGGTGATCTCCCCAAACTTGATCTTGAGGCTGCAAATTGTAAGTCTCACTACTTCGTAGACCCTGCTCATCACCGTTGTTGAAACAATGGTGAGTTGAATACCGATTGTGTTTTCTCGGTCTTACTGGGATTTCCTGGTTCCAGTGCTATTGTCAATGGGGCATACCCATCCTTCTCAGTAGAACTCTCTCAAATTCCAATCAAGTTGTTGTCAGCTTCTCGCTGCTTTATGCGCATGCTGCACATTTCTCAGGGATGTTAATGTTGTCAATACCATCGAGGACTTCACATCCTTCCGGCACTGGAAAACAATAATGTAATAGATAGGTGCAGGGTCATAGGAAGTAATACTACGAAGTGGAGGAGAACAGACACAATGTGATGCCCAGCCAGCCCAACCAGATCTACTTCATCCTTGTACACGCCCCCTGCCCAGGCCATTGTCCAGCCTACTTGTAGGGTTGTTGGCTGCTGCCACTAGCACGCCCCCTTCCTTCTGTATGCAAGTACGAAGTACTTCGTACGTATCATCGATCAATATCAATTGATACGGTAGCATCCAGACCATCACCTCAAACCTGCAACCCACACTGCACCCCCGCCACCCTTGCCACTTTACTCTTCTCCCGCAATCCACCCAGGAACCGTCAACGTCTGCCAGTCTGCCAGTAACGCCCGCCCAAGTCCCCTGTAACCCTGACATTTCATGTCATCGGTGATGAAAGGGGGTCGTGGATGTAAGTCCTTATGGGAGGGCGGTTGCAGATGCAGAGCATCGTAAGGTTGCAGAATTGAAATGGCGTGGGTACGAGCAGTATAAAACTCTGACATCGATTCGATTGATAGTTTTGGGAGCGATGAACGAAGTTGGACAATGCTCGAATTGAACCTTCCTCTGCTTCTAGAGGGAGCGCCGCCTCTCAGTTGAACTCTCGTCCTCGTCGACGGCCACGCCTTCCTCCGCAGCGACTTGGGATGCAATTAACTCCACTTCCCAGGCGAGAGAGTCTTGGAGGCAGGTGGAATCAGCGAGGTTAGATAGTGCGTTGATGTAGTATTGATATATTTTTGTTTGATATTACTGTAACGGTTTCCAAGAACACTTTTCTCGCTTATTTCGACTTTCTTGATAAATAATTACATCCTCTCAGAGTCTCCGATTGAGCCGAGATATCCCATGAAAATTCGCAAACGTACAACCAAAGACTTTATCTGTGCTCAGGATCTCCATCGCTCAATCTTCATCGACGATGAGAGCTTGATAGTTGAAGTTAGCGTCATTATGTTAGTGGTCGGCCAGCTTGCTTTCGCCTGGCAATAGAGACACACTGTACGGGATCAGATCAATTGATGCATGCCTGGATGCTCGTCCAGTACCCTGCGGCAATAGTCTCCCGTCAGATCCTGTCTTAGCTATTTTTTTCGAGCTAATGGATCTGCTGTTCTGCGTTGCTCCGTCGCTCCTGCTGCTCCTCAAAACACATCAATAGATCCATAGTGGGGAGCTCTTTCTCTTCCCCTGCGCAGACTCCGCGTGCCTCCTTCATTGAGACTACTCGAGACGAGGTCAATGGCCTCGCCCCAGTCGCAGGTAGCCATCTTGGATATGATCAGCATGTGGGCTTTTTTTGCTTCTTCCACAGATGATGGAGATGTTTGATGTTTCGGCCTTCGCTCCGATGACGCTATCGCTGAATGGGACTGGGCCCAGAAAGAATTACAGCAATCTGATCTGTCTCGCTACAGTCCCTGAGATGTCTAAATATGTGGTAATATTAGGGCCGGGTCTACATACTGAGCGAGAGACAGGCGCCTTACCAGCCTTGATCTAATCTGTCCATCCATCATGGATATCATAAATCATGGGATGTTGCTACCTCCCAAGTTCACCCTCATCCATCTCCACTCCCTTCTTCGGCGCTGTGCAAAATAGTTAGTGTGCTCTGGGCTGGTGTGGGTTTACACCCCTTCTAGCCCCATACCCCCGTCCATTCGAGACATGGATCCCCATGCTCTCGGTATTTCCAACGGTATTCGAGGAAGTCACTAACGACTTCCCTGTTCGCCTCACACACCGTCGCTGCTACTCTACTAGGCCGGGGTCACTGCGACCTGTGAGTGAGTGCGACGTACTCCGACTCTTGCTCTTGCTACTTCTTGCACACAAGTATTACTACATCCACTCCGTTTCGTTCCTTTTTGCTATTCTTGTCTCTCCCCCGTTTGGTATCCGTACTTCGCAAAGTCCACTAATACCTACAATCCACAATGGAGCTCTCAACTCACAGTCATGCTTCCTTCCCATTTCGAAGTACTAGTCATAGTACCCGCTCAGACTCAGTCAGTCGTCCCAGTGCGCACTTTCTTCATCACATCAATCCTCATGTACGAAGTAGCCAGGTAGCTTGGGACTAGGGCCGTCCGTGTCGTGTGTTTGGGGCTTTGCCTTTTTTACGCTGCCACCCCTCCAGTTTCAAGGCTCCATCGATTTGTCAATTTAACTTCTGGAGACCCCCGTGTAAACCACCAGACCCCAGCCGCTTCCTCTGTTCAGTGGGCTTGTCTTGTATCAATGTTATGTACACGCTCTCCTCCCACTGCGACATAGCCAACTTACACTAGACCTTCCTCCCTCGTTAGTACCGCGTACACCTTGGACCTCTCCTGAGCTACACTCGACTCACTCCTTCCACTACAACTTCCCCCCCTCTCCCACTCCCCCTTCTACGACACTACGCTACCCACCAGTACTTCGTACATCGAACGCTACTTTCTCCACTACGCCTGCCTGTTGCAAAAGCCAAAAGAGACACCAAAACAACCTACATAAAAGTCAAGTTCTGGAGCTGCGGCGTGTCCCTTCTATGTCCTTGCCTTACCTATTTAGGCACAACCACTCGTGCATGCTGTCCTTCTACTTCAACCTTCATACTCCCCCACACTTTCTGCCTCCCTCGACCTCTGCTGGCTGCTTCTTCAACTTCTCACTCCTCTTTGCTCGGAATTGAGGATAAAGTCTACCTGGACCCTCTTCCCATCTTATCGTGCAAAGAGGCACTTCGTATCTTCCATATCCGTGGACAGGTCTCCCTAACTACAACACACATCCTACCACAAATCTATTAGCTTTGCTTCGACTCGAGCTTCCCGAAGTACCACACAGTCGGTCAGCCCTTTGAACCGGTATAAGCATCCCCAAGACACACCCGATCTATTTATATATGTGTATATATATATATCCTCAGGAGACCGCCATCGTGCCTTGTCACCTCCATTCTCTTCACTTATACGTCAACATCCCCGACCGACATCCTTAGGGCCTTCACCCCGCCACCCTGAGCGTCTGTCCTGGGTCGAGCTTGGACTTTCACCTTGCCTTACAAATCTCTCGTTACTATTACTTTCTTCTCTGGCGTTATCTTCGCATTCGCACCAATCCTTCAGTCCCGGTTTCTTGCTTTCCTTCCATTAGACTTGTCAGGACCCTTCACTCCGGGGAGACCTTCCAGCCGCATAAAAACTACGCGATTCGCTGCGGATCTTGGTATTACAGGCCTCCGAAGGACCAGCCGAACGATAATATTCTTTACGGCGATTGTCTAGCATCCGAAGGGAAGACCCTCTGTGTCGTCTGCAATATGATCGCCATGACCGCACCGGCACCCCATTCCACATTCAGTCGAGGCTACCCCTGGGATAGCCCACGGACTCTCGCAGAACATGCGCCTCGCCGGGCAGAGAAGATTGCTCTTCCCTCGATCCGACAGGTACGTTGATGGGGATGTTGAAGCAGATTGCTACAGGCGACCACCAAAAAGATGCTCTTGATCTAGTTTGGGATTCTCATCTGACACTTTAGTGAAACTAGGCATTCCCCGAGCTCCAGCTTAGGATTCCTTCCCCGCAGGATTCTCTAGCTAGAACTCCGTCGGCTACAACCTCACCGACGACAGCACTTTCTAATGCCTTTACACCACCAGAATATGTCCACTCTCCTAATTCTAACAATAACAAGCGCAGGCGGTACTCCATCGATGATGCAGCAAGCGGCGAAAGAGTGAACAGGGTGCCTCGGCTCTATTCAACGCAGTCTTCTGTCCCAGCAGGGCGACAGCCATCACCTACGATGACACCATGGACGCCAGCCTCAGACAGCTGGGGTGGCTCGGCTAAGACGAGCCCATTTCTCCCCAGCAGAGCAATGCCAGCTCTCCAATCTCCTCTAGTCCTTGAGGGCGCCGACAGGTCAAGAGACAGGAGGCCAGCGCTGCCCAACTTAGGATTGCCTCACATCACCTACGAGAGGGATTCCCAACCCATTCCTCGCGTCGCAGTTCACCACTCGCAAGCAACGGACGACTACCCGCCGCCTCCTAGGCAGACTCCTCTTTCTGCAGGCCCCGTGATTGACGGCCCGCCGACGCAATTCCGTCACAACCCCTTCAGCTATCAACAGTACCACCATCCTTCGAGGGTGCAATCTCTCTCCGTCGGCTCAGTCCACCCCTTTGACAGAGTCCCTTACACACCGGCCGGTTACCATCCCCACCACTATCATGACTTCGTGAGGTACGGTGATGTGGGCCATTCAGGCATGGCCGGGGATACCAAACAGCGGAAACGCCGCGGAAACCTCCCCAAGGAGACGACGGACAAGCTGCGGGCCTGGTTTGTGGCTCACCTCCACCACCCATACCCAACTGAAGATGAAAAGCAGGAGCTCATGAGACAGACAGGTCTTCAAATGAGTAAGCTTCGCCGGTGCATTCCTACAGACTTCCAAGTGTTCCACCTCTAACATCTCCTCGCCTTAGATCAAATCTCAAACTGGTTCATTAATGCTCGAAGACGGCAACTGCCTACCATGATCAACAACGCCCGTGCCGAATCCGACGCGGCAAACTCAGCTCGCAGAGCCAACGAGAACAAGCCTCCTGTGACAGCAGCCCCGCTAAGTGATGGAGAGTCGAGCTCCTTCGACGACGACCTCAGAATAAAGCGTCAACGTAGCGGCCATTTCAAACGTGGGAGCATTTAAACCGCTCTTCCCTTGACTCGATCCTCTCTTGGGCTCAACATTTCACCAAACCACCATTCCCTGGTCTTTTAACCAACCTCGTTCTTTCTAACATGTCATTTCTATCTACCTCATTTATACATTGGATTTATAACCCACCCTTTATTACGCCCTCCACCATATCGGAACTGGTCAACTCCCTAGGGCTGATCTACTCAAGTTTCGCTTTTTCTTTGTCTCAAATGTCTTTGTTCATCACTCTGGGCTGTTTTTTATATAATCATTGGCATAAGGATAATACTGGGTATTATATAGATTTACACGGAAGAAGGTGTTTGCGACCACGTGGGAAGGATACCCTTGATCGTACCCCTTCCTCGTGGCGTCGGTTTCATGTGGCCTGTCGATCTTCTTTAAGGCCGTGGCATTTCTTTTTCTCTTTGTCTTGTTACTACTATTTGGAAGCATGGTTTTTATTTCGGGCGGGAAGAGGAAACACTGGAAGGACAAAATCCGAGGGGTAGAATATGCGGAAAACCCAAAATTCGTGTGTACGAGAGAGACGGTAACGACTCATTCGGCAGAAGGAATTGGACTGGCAACCCATACGCCAGCCATTGGATGGGATACAGGACTCATGTATAGAGGGACAGTTTTTTTTTTTTTTTTTTTTTTTTTTTCTCTTTTATTTCGAATGGAAAGAATTCTTGGACAATAAGAGAGAGGGAGAGAAAAAAAATAAAAGAAAAAGATATATTATTATCCCCAGACTTTCTCTTTCAGTTGTGTGTTTGCTTGGGTCGGAGGCTGTCGAGATCAGACATCAATTAATCCAATCCAACACTATTCGATAGAGGCTATGCCGCTTTTCTTCCTCTCCAAATTTCCCAGTTTTCCCGTTTGAACAAGATTCAGGGTTATATTCCTTTGTTATTAGTTTAGGGAGGCTTGGGGAGATTGCCATGAAATTTGGAAGAGGGGGGGTGTGCGGCTTTGCAGGCACAATTTGATATACCATTATCCGAGCCAAAAAAGAACATATCCGGTTTATCGAATTCTTCCTACATAGCAGTCACCGTTTCTTCTCTCGTTTTATGATTCCGTACCGCGTGCTTCGCTTGGGCCGACGTCACGAAAATGGTTTGGAGGCTGAACGACGCCTCTCGAGCTAAGAAAAAAAAAAAAAGAAAAGAAAGAAAGTTGAAAAAAAAAATTAGGTATATCCCTTCTACGGATCCGAACCATCCATTCCAAACAAAACAATCGCACCAGGCCCTCCATGTATAGAAGTAGCAGAGTGTACAAAAGTGAAAGACAGAAAGCAGGCTCCAGCGGTTCGTTGTCACCATCAAGAGCAAGAGGAGAGGCGGGAAAACTTTCTGGTATCCACCTTTCACGAAACTCGTTTCTTCGCTTTTTGGTCACTTCAGACGTTTCCCTCCCCGCCCTTGTACAAAAGAGGAAAAAAAGGCAAATGCTATACTTTCATAGCTTCGAACGTGCTGAAATCTGCCAAGTCTAGCGTGATTGTCGGGGGCCATAAGGTTTCTCCCACGCTGGGCCGACCACGCTTCGCTTCTCGAAGGCAAGTGGGTTTCTAATCGCCTGACCTGATTTGGAAAACGGAAGAGGAAGGGCTTCTTAAGTTTAGAAGAAGTTTGGGTCGGTGGATTTTGTATCTCTCAAAAGGGTAAGAGTTGGCGAAGAGTTTAAACTTTGATATGTTTCTTGGGTCATTTAGACTCGGGACATGTTCGGGGGGAGTAGGGAGAGAGAGATACGATCCCACCGTGGTTCACATATCTGCTTCAGAGCAGGGCAGAAGTGAAGACGACGGGAGATAACTGAGTTTTTTTTCTGAGGGAGTTAAGGCCATAGTGACTAGCGGACTTAGGACCGTATCTCGCTTTTCCTCCCCGCTGTCACCGGAGCAGAAGGTGCGGTTGTGGAGGTAGGTGAGTTTTGAGGCGTCGTTTAGACACCCTTTGGCGTGTCGGGGGTCGTTTTTCGCTTTCCTGTAGTGGTGCAGATGATGTCGACCTTTACCTTGTATTGGTTGAACTCGGCCTTCGTCGGGGGAGGCTCTCCTGATGTTCGGTCGTCTCGGAGAGCATGGAGCCGAAACGCTCACTCTAGGTTCCACCAACGCGTAGACGGTCCTGTCTACAGATTCCAACGTTAGGCTGGATTTGACAAAAGCACAGACATGCTCCCCTCGCCGGGAGTTGCAAGGGTACCGCTGTCAATCAACGTCAAAGTAGATGTGTACACCACGATGCCACGTCGTTTTTCTTTAACCGTCGAGTAGGCAGCACACAAGGGCGGAAATAGACGATGGAGATGGGAGTTATATCCGTCCATCCGTCCGCGACTTTCATCACTCCCATAGAGCCACTGCTTGCTCGAACCCTCCCTTATGGAGTATCACTGAGGGATGACCATGTATCGACTACACAGCAGTGGCATGGCACAGCGGGGTCGGGAGAACTCAATAGTAAGTGGCGGAGAGATTTCTAATGATCATCCAACCGAACCAGCGTGAAGAGAGAGCGAGAGAGGCGTCTGGACACAATTTGACTTTCCAGGGTGCATGACAACTCAATGGTGTCGATCAAAGTAGCGTACCCTTTCTCTAGCCTACCCGAGCTGACAAGTGTCCGCGAAAACAGGGAATGGATAAAACCCCCGCTGTCTATGTCAAAGCGGCACGGCGTCGATTGTTCGCCCAGACTGCTGCTAGCTGCCACTAGCCACCTCTAGCACCTTCACTGGTGCGGGAAGAAAGAACTCCCCGCTGGACGACAAGTTAGGCGTGTCGATATGACGCCCCCTAGCCAGTCGACACACCAGTCTGTAGCAATCATGACAGACGAGGAGGAGGGGCAAAGGAGGGGCCGCCGAGGCCCTGTTCCTATCTAGGTGTTGCCACACCATGGAACAGAGAAACTTTCCGATACTTCCTCCAGGAACTTCCCTTAAGCCCCTCTCATACTGCGTGGCCATGCCTGTCCCGGGCATGATCACAGCCCTTCGAAAAATGAGCAATCAGAGGGAAGGATGGTTTAAGAAAGGCATAAGCCGCAACAACCTTGTCGATGAGAGCATGCCGTATCTTTCAAGAGCGGTACATAGGGAAGTATGTCTGATACGGGGCGTCGGAAGCAAGGGAACTGGGCACACCCTCCATGCAATTGATACTTGTCGACAGGTTCATGACCCATGACCTCAGGGTCGTAGCGGGCCAACTGACAGCTATTCCGGTCGAAATGACCAAAGGTTAAGTGGCAGCCCTCATCGTCCAAAGTAGCAAAGTTCAGGTGAGATCGAGAAGAGTGGCTTGTGTATCAAAAAGACCTGCCCCCCTCCCCAGAGTGTCCGTCGATCCTTGGCAAGCCATTGACCATCAATGCTAGCCACTTACAACGGAGGGGCGCGGGGGCGAAAGAAAGAGAGCGGTCTTCTACGAACGCCCCCTCCTCTCACCGGTCCTAGCGCTGAGAGCACCCTTAGGTTTGTAGACTGAGACATCAAATACCCTAGATGGGAATAGCTCATCATGGCGTAGCGGGTCGGGATCCATCCGGCGTTCATTCAAGAGCGGTCAGGTCCGATATGAGGGTCTCCGAGGTAGACAAAGTCGATAGGACTTTTCTGAAAAAGAGGGTCGATCACGGTCCTAAGGGTGCTATTACGCCTGGGATACTTTCGGAGTATCCATGAGATTTTCGGTGCCCAGGAAGAATGGCAGATAAGCGAGGCCAGGAATGCGAGTTGTATCAGGCTTTAGGACCACCCGTCTCAAGTCCGCACCCGCTCTACATGTGAGCCTGTCCTACTTGGGCTACGGGACGTTCGGACGGTGGCAATAAAGGGTCGCCGTTAGCATTGATCCGCCGAAAGAGCAATCCTGGGACAGTGCGTCCTAGGCCAAGGACAGAAAGTATCAACCCCCAGAAGAGATCGATAACCGTACCAGGGGCCATGTTGTGGCACTATTATTCTTGCAATAACGGGAAATAAAGAGACCGGCGATCTTGTAGGCCCGAACGAGAGACTATCCCGAACCAGAACCCGAAGACACCAAGGCACAGGGTGTCTGTGAACCTGGTGACTAGTTCAAACAGACAGTTGACAAGACCACAGCGGAAAGTTGAAAAGCTCGGATTATAGACTAGGTCAGTCAGTAGAGGGGAACACCTTCGGGGCTTACGCCATGCCCTCGCACAAACCCCAGCTGGCGTACGAATCCCGGACGTTTAGGGCCCATCGCCAACGGCCAAGTGACTTTTGCCACTTCCGTGTGAAGGATAGACAGGGAAAGTTGTGGAGGGGCCATGCCTCATTTGGCTATTGCCCTTACCCCTCGATTCCATCCGTGGCCCACTACGGATTTGGAAGGGGTAAGGGGGAGAGGCCGCAAAAGAATCAGAAGTTATTCAAAAGATGATACGATATTCCGTATGTCGATCTGGGACACAATACCATAACCGATCTCGGATATCTAGTCCTCCAGCTTCAATCCTGGCTCTCTGCGGCTCATAAGGGGTTAGGGTCGCCTCGTTCGTGTTGTATATACCTCGTCGGCATAGTATGTGTCGCCTCAGCGAGCCGGCGTTCATCTAGAGGACCAAGTACACCAGCCGTGCTGTCATCAAATGAGGGTATGCTGATTTGGAAGATTCGATTCCACCCTGCCATCCCTGGACGCGTCTCGATTGTGGTTGTGAACGCGGGCGAGAACATCAGACAATCAATTAAAATTGAATCTCTCGGCGGCGGTGCCAGGTTGTATCATGCATTGCGGTTTGAGCTTTGCCTTTCACCCGAGGACCGAAAAGATATGGGACACTGGCCGGAAACAAGGCGCGAGTGGTGACGGCTCGAAATGGGCATCTTCTTGGGGTTGTGCCACTCGTGTGAGGGCGGGCTTGGCCGCTGCCAGATGACACCCATGCCGCTGCCAAATCGCGGAGTGACGTTGAGGTTAAAGGGTTCACCCCTCGCGGCTTGCGACCGGGCTCAGCGGCTCGCGTCGAGGCTCCTTCTATTATCTGTCCAGCAAAAAGGAGCGTATGACTTGGGTTGCAGATCAATATGCAGAGGGTCCGGCTCAAGTGCTTGCCGCTGGAAGGCCGGACAAAGTAATTCCACCTATGGGGAAGACGGCTTGGTTCGTCTCGAAGCTCTCTGCTTCCGCTGTCACGAAATATGACGGATAATAAGGCCTGGGGGATCCTCAAGACGTGCACCGAGACTTGTCCCGGGGAATTTTAACTAATGCACATCGATTAATTTGAAATATATTGAGACGTGGGAAACAAACATAAGCAGCCGCATCTCGTATACGGCAGGCGAAGTCGAGGTTATTATAGTAATGGAACATGTGGTGAGACTGACCGAGTGAGGAGACGAATGGAGACAGAATGGACAGGCGGGGACAGAGGAGTCGCCAAGGAGATGGCCGACGAGCGCACTCGAGAGTCAAACTGCCGGGCCCCGACTAAGCCAGCCAATTTGCTTCGATTCGTGCCTTTGAGACCCTAATTGAGCGGGGGTTTCAAATATCAAAGAACTCTTGAGCAGGTTAGTCCCGAAATTCCAAGTTAGGCCCCAGCCCGGCTAGATGGAAGCCGTTGAAAGAAGACCAAGGTGCCAGCCGCGGTGAGAGCGTAGTTGACACCTGGTGATTTGATCTCACCACGGCAAAATCATCACACCGACAGATCCGCCGAAGGCTTGCGGCTCGGAAGATCATCAATTGCAATGTCCAGCATCAGAGGACGCGCATCCGCACGTACGTAAGTTCATCGAAGAGATCGACAAAGCGAGGCATTCGGACAAAGGAGTAACGTAGTAGCGTGCGTAAATAGATGAAAGGGGGCAACACATGGCATAATAATGGTGTTATATCCGACAAGCTAGGCGTGTCGGGGAATTTTAACCATTCCAATTGCCGCGATGCAGGGGCGATGCGGAGATGGATTCCTCTTCATACTAAACTACTCTCATAAAGGCACTTGCTATGTATTCTATAACGAGAGGTGTCATGGCTCGGGATAGATCGTGGATCATGGATAGGACGACCAAAAAACGATCCCCTGCGCGTGGCCTTTGACGGGCCCAACACCTCATCAAGTCCTCGAGTTCGAATGAAGTACGTGGTCCTCCACGTCAGCTCATGTCGCTTGAGGCAGTCGTTAACGAGCCGAGAATGAATGGAACCAACACCGGAACGCACCACGGCTTTGTTAGGTCCGATCCCTCGAACGGATACTGACGAAACCGGGGGTCTTGTATCAAAAGGCCAGATTCGCATTACCGGGTGAGAAGATATCAAATTCGACAAGCCATGAAAAGTGAAACATTGGATGAGACTCTTGTCCCTCCAAGAATGCTGGGAACCATCACGTGATTTCGCGTCAATTCCAAATCACGCGCCGGCTAGCTCGCGAAACCTCTCAAGAGATCGTACTTATAACGCGTTCGCTCCTTAAAGAGATACCTCGATTGGCATCGTTCAGTGGCTCTCTGTCTCCTCGGTAGCTGTCTTAAGATATATTTGACGGCATCGCGTTGACACATGGTCGGTCATGGAATCCGTATATTTCCATGGGGTTTTCGCTCAGATCGGTCTGTAACCCTCTTGGCAGTACGACTACCAGAATCATATGGCGAAGAGAGTATGCGGACCGTGTCCAAAAGACGGGATCTATCCCAAATCTTTGCCGCCAGAAACCTCTTTATGGGGCATTTCTAGAACTCTGCCCTCCGCAGACGCGCCGCTAAATTGCCAACGCCTTGAAACCACTGTGTCAGTTATGGGTATTATAAATCATTCCCTCCGGCCATCCTCATTCAAGCAGACACGTATGCCATCTCTAAACATCAATATAACTCTCCCGCCGGTTCGATTGAAGTCTGGGCAGCCCTCCATTCTCTTCCTCTCGATAGGCACGTTCAAATTCAAGGCACCTTCGATCGGAAAGCAATTAGTGGCTGCGGAACTCTTATTTTCAGACTACCCATGGCAGTTCCGATAATTGGTGATGAAAATTTTACTCTTGTCGCGAATGGAGACGACGAATATCGAATAACCATGCTGAAGATACCAGGCTAGCTCCTGAGAGCAGAGTCACCTTTACGGTGACTACCATTAAATGCATCCTCCACCATAAACGCTCGGCGGCGGTGGCATGTATCACCAAAGTGGCTGCCGATTCGAGACACTCGGAATGCTCTTTTCCGTTTCGGAAATGGCGAGACTTCGAGACCAATCTATGAAGCCCGTTATCGCCCACACCGCCGAAGACCATGTGCTTTCGTTGGATCCCTTGGGTTCGTCATAGAGCCGCAGTTATTTCTGCCAACAGGCAGTCATTGATTGTGAGGATACTGATGGGGCGATGGCCGAGGTTGCTGGAGTGTTTGCGGGTCCATCGGACCCCCTAAAGGGTTATAGAGGTGGGGACCAAACCTATGTCCTGGTGGTGCGGGTGGCGCCGTCGAGTATGGTATTGGTTGGTGTTGGTGTACCATGTTTTGGGAGCCGAGAAAAGGATTAGGCGGCGCCATCGCCCCCAAATTGATCTGGAAATCGGCACCATGTGTGCTTTGAATAGGGATATTTTGCGTATGGGGATATGTGGTAGCCAGGGCCTCGGCCCGAGATCCGGCTCCGGTGTCTGAGCTAGGTGTGTCTGCCATGAGGGTCGCTGTGTTTTCGAGGCGGTTCGGTGGATCATTGATATCGAGCTGCTCAATGGGCAGGCCCCTAGCTTCGGCCAGTACGATTGGCATCCCTGGTGGGCAAAACTCCGACCGCCAGTCAGTATCCGGGGCGTCAAGGCCAGTATACGGGTCATGCGTGGAATTAGCTTCTTGCAGAGCGGCAGTATAAAACCGAGCAAACACTGCTGGAGAAACTGGAGGAGCATTCATCTGGTCTCTTTGGGCCTCGGCCATATACGCGGTTTCAAGGATGTAATGAGGCCCCGGAAGTCTCCTAACAGAGTTTGGATCGCTGCTCGCCAATTTCAGGCTCGTTTCTTCTTCGTACTTGCTTGTCCGGTCGAAGTCCTCGACACTCTTGATGAGTTCATCATACTAACAAACCAGCCGGCCGTGTCAGCGTGGGGGGATATGTTGATGCGGGAAGGGGAAGGCTCAACTTACTCGAGACTTGACACACGGTATCACCTTGGACCAAGGCTGCAGTATACGGAGACAGGAATCGACCAGTCTACGGACCGAAGGGCCATCCGCAGGCTCGTTCCGCCATAAGGGAGCTGTGCTATGAGACGTCAAATCTCGATATAATTCGTGCTGCTTTGCGGTCATGAGAACCTTGGCGCATTGCTGAACAAGGGGAGCAATATTATAATCGCCAATTAAGAGGAGTTTCCCGCGCTGAATTGCCTTCGATTGGTTGTATATCGTCTCCCAAAACCGAGCGAGAGTAATGGCATGAGCTATGGCTTGCTTCTGCGACTTCACTATGAAGTCATGCGGCAATTTCTTCAATAGATCTGGGGTACCTCGTTCCCGGATACCGGGCAGTGAGAAACGGTAGAGGTCGATATGTGCTGTGCAAAGGAGGCCGTGAATGAGGACAAAGACTTGCTTTTCTTTTGATTGCAGCCAGCGGGATATGTTCTGGTCTGACAGTTTCATGTAGTCCGGTAAGGAGCTACTGAAGCTAGAAAGCTCCAACTGCAACCTCCTAACATCTTCCATGACTTTTGACGGTTCCCATCTCTCTCGCTGGAGGTATACTGGCCCAGAGGCGAACTTTTTCGACATCCTAAGAGTTCTTATACATTAGAGACGCGGGGAGAGGAAAACAAACATGGAAAAAGAGGAAAGAAAGGCAACTCACGTTAGAACATGATGACGAATATTCACCATCCTCACTTGGTAGCCGTGCAATCCGGGAAGAATGCAGGCTTTCATTGGCTTGTCGTTTAGGTGCTCGACGAAAACCTCCTTGTTAGCATTAAAGGCATCTTCGGGACAGGGTAACCGGATTTTCATATTATCCTCCCGGCAGCAAACGTAGGCCTCGAAGCCCTCAGCAAAAATACGGTCAAAGTTGAATAGATGCCAAGCTAACCTCCTTGCGCACTCTTGTTCCTGGAACGGACGTTTGGAACCAGGAACTTCCCAGTTGAGCTGGAGACCATGCATAAGACGGCACGCGTTGGCTATGAGTTGCCAACATTTCGCATACTTTCCGTTCATATGATTATGAAGAATGTCAAACGAATAGAGGTAGAGATTGACTTCTTTAAGGCTTCCAATATTGCAAAATATATGGAACTCGACATGCATCGAGCATCTCTGAGCGAAGGCCACAGCTTTTGGTCCGGGAGAAACGAAGAAAGCTGCAACGGAACATATGGCAGCAGCACGGGAAGGTTGCAGTCTATCCTCCTACGTGGGAGTTAGCAAAAGCAATAGGCAACACGCCAGCTTTCTACATTCGGGCAGATGAGGGGATGGCTCAAGGGACATTGCTTGTGACTGCCTACCTCCAGCTCGGCGTAAATAGTCGACTTGTGAATGTAACCGAGGCAGGGCATCCAATAAAGGTACTCAAAGTAGGCATCCAGGTGGTTCAGAATTAGGTCCTTGTTAGCAAGGATATTTCTATGACAGGTTAGCAATAAGATTGTGCACAATCAGACATCCCATCGACTCACTCTTTGACGAGGCTAGCAAGGTCAGGAAACTGAATCGGAGGCATTGTAGCGGCAGTGGCTTGAATTGGCTCGTCAGAATCCGGCGATGTAGGCTCCGATGAGGTGCTTGATTGAGACGGCGCTGGGAGGCTCTCCTGTCCTTGCACGTTAATGGGAACATTTTGAAAGCGTCGTTTGGCCGGCGTATATTCGCATGTCAGGTTCGAGGCCGCACATCTCTTGCACATTGGCAAATCCCCAGAGCACCTCGTTTTGTGGGAGTGGCATTCCGTACATGCCCTCTGTGCCCGCTTTCGGAGGGTACCTGCCTCAGTATGGCTCCGAGATGGTGTAGTGCGGGAGACTTTTCACAGGGGTTAGGCTCATTCGAAGTCGCATGAGAGGGAGGGAATCAGAGTGTCAGCCAATTGGTACTGTCGCTATCTTACCCGTATTGTTAGATGGAGTGTCATTGGGATTGTTGAAGCTGCATGCAAGCTCCAATCTCAGGCAGTTGGAGCAGGCCTCACCGCCACCAGGATTACCGGTACATTTCACCTAATCAGCCGAGGTCTGGTGTTAGCTGAATGGGAAATAAGAGCTTCCAGGCGCGCCTAGTAGCTGCTAATATTAGGGTAGGGGCATCGCAGGAGGGCCTCGAGCGGGTCTCGAGCGGGCCGTTGCATATGACCGATGAGAGACAAGGAAGGACGGAGAGGGAGTACATGCTACGAAATAAATGGGTATGATGTGTCTCATAGCTAACTCAAGCTGGAGGAAGTAGTAGCAAATACAGAGGGAAAACATTCAATAGAAAATATGTAAGGGCGCAAGAAGCACCCAGGGCAGGATAGAGGCTATATCGAGTGGTAGACGAAGATAAAGCAGGGCTTGCGTACAGACCGTCCCTGACGAGTAGCGATCCAAGCCGAAAGAAGCTCGGCTTATTAGCCACGAACATACCTTCCTGAGCCGGCAGGTCCGGCAGCAATTTGTCAGATGAGCTTGACTTCGACGGCGCTTGGGGGGTGGAGGAGCTTCCTCAGACGGAGGAACCATGTGTGATGATGGCAACGGGATGAGAGAGAGTGGATGATCACCATCAACGGATTGGAAAGACATATCCATGCTTTGCTTTGATATAAACCGACAGATCCAGAGAAAACTCCGTGACAAGAGCATCCATCTAGACGTAGTTGATTGTTAAATTCACCTCATGGAAATCGCGAGTGCCTCGTGCTGTCGGTTCGGGAGAAAGGAGTTATCACCAAGGGCGAAGAGATGGCAAGAAAGCCCAGCGGTGAGAATGAAGCCGAAGAGAAGCACCCGCTCTGCAAGGATAGTGGCAGAATCCGTGGAATGATAAACGAGGAGGAGGAATTGACCTTGATCGATGATGGATTGAGGAGGTGGAAGGCGAGGTCGAGTAATATCGTATTTGATTATATTCAGGGCCTTCCCCGGTCTTTACCGGATTGAGTCCATCAAGTACCTTCATGAAAGCAGCCAGGCAAGGTCTACTTCGTAACGTCTGGGCGTCTAGGCGTGCCGATTACAACAGGCGGAAGGAACATTGAAGTACTGTGTAGGTAAACTACCAGGCTTGGGCCTGCATTGTGGTAAAGACACTCCACTTCTACAACTGCACTAGCGGACCGCATGACGCGATGGGGATGGGGATGGGGAAGGAGCTAGCGCACGATTCGGGCACCCAATTGTCATTGATGGTATTCTGCTGGTTTGGTGGGTGGTCTTCCGGGGTTGCGGATCCTACTTTCCAAGGTACACACGGACCGTTAGTCGAATAGCTTCAGCCCCAAGAACCAACGTTCTCAAGTCCTGAGATTAATATCAAGAACGGCGTCTTGAAGAAGGAAAAAGAAGGATTAATCAATCAAAGCAACAGGATGACTTCCCACTCTCAGGCATGAGGCACACATCGAATCAATACGATACTACAATGTTACGACAATGGCACCTTGCCTATCCCAGTGCAGCCACCGCATCCGCACAGAGGGATCAATATCAATTGCTTGTACACGAAGTACGAGGACGGCGAGGAAGCGAGGGAGGGGAGAGCCCTGGGCCGAGTACCGACCACATTGTCAGCATCGGATTCTTCACCGCAGCGAGAACCGTCTTCGGGTGGGCAAAGTACAAAGTACCGCCTTGCAGAAACCATCAATTCCCTGCCATTTCTATTAAGCAAGCCAATCATTGCTAGTTGACTGTTCTGCAAGGAGACTCTGCGTGCTATTAAAAGCTTCTCAATGCGACTTTACCGTCCACTGAAGATTCAATTCCAGAGGTCATGAGCAGCCAGCGCCGGGACGAACCCAGTCCGATATCCCTAACCCCCAAACATCAATTCCAATGCGAAGAAAGGCACAATGACTTGCCTTCTCAACCCCTCTAAACTCCTTCGTAGCTCCAGCATAGCCACCCTGCAGCCCCGCTCATCTTGACTTCACACTTCTCGAGAACATTCGGAAACACAGCATATTGATACCAAACCTATCAACTACTTCACCACAAGGGTCCTGTGGATGGGAGAGGAGCTAACACTGGTCATACTCCAGCGCGAGGGGCAATTGGAGAAAGTGGGACAATGGAAGCGAAACTACGACTTTACACATCTGGGAGCCTACAAACAGCAGGCCCTGGGCCTGATGATCGCTATGAGTGGTCTTTTGGAACCCCCTATGAAGTAGTTTAAGGGGAGATGGGCAAGAGGCGGCAGTGAGACATCGGGAAGGAAGAGGCGATCAAATATGACAGGTCGTAAAGTGCCAACGTCTTCATGTGCGAAGTACCGATATTGTTGACGTCTCCCAGTCCAATTGTCCTGAATAATATGTCGCCAGCAAGGACTGCACAAGGAGTTTGCCCATTTCTCTTTCACAGCGCCCATGGTGGAGAATGTCGCTGGGAAGTCGCTGCTCGCCGCCACACCTGAACGAGGAAATGACCAAACCCCAAGAAGGACCCAAAAGTTGGTTTTTCTGCCCATGAGCCCCGGACACGATGCTTTTTTCATGCCGGTGGTGGAAATGCGGCACATTGCCGGAATCACAAAGTGCAGCTGCATAACGTAACGTCCGGACTTGATATCTCACCAGTCTATCCCTGCTGATTTAGATGGAAGGCGGAAGGGGGAGGTCACAAACAAGACCATTCTAATTATCATCCGTATCAACGATGGGGATGAATGCTTTTTATTCTCCGACACGCTACTTCCAAGCCAAAATTGGACTCTCGTGAGACAAGATACTAGTGTCCCCACGAAGTAGATCCTTCACCTCTTGTATAATCTCGCATGCTGTAGAGAAGCGAGTTGATCCTTGTGCCTGTTGACGAGCGCATGTTATGTAAAGGCAGCTCGATGGGTGGCCTCGCATTGTCTATAAAACCGGTGATCAGTCGGACAATGTGCAATGGTGAGTCGACAGGAACAGTCGTTGACAATAAGTCAGCTTCTCCAATGGCCGCTACGTTATTTCTTCTTTTCTAGGCTATTCGTCTCATCAGATGAGGCTGGAGTCTCCATCGTTACTCAAAATCAATTGACGTTTTGCGTGAATTATAAATACTGTTCCTGTCGGTGGCGAGAGGGCCCAGGACTCTCACTCACAGGACGGCACTCTCATCTCGCTATTTTATCCACCCACACAGCTTCGCAACCAGGTGCGCTCCGATTCATGCATGGGGGAGGAGAGCTGCAAGGCACGTCGCCGTTGAGTGGGTGGGAGTAAGATGTATTTCTCGGTCGGAGGTCGCCAGCCCCCAAGAACCAATACGAGGTGTCTCACGGTATTCTTACTGTTACTCGTTACCAAGGTTTCCGCGATTGCGCCGGGCGAGAAGAAAGCAGTGATTCCCAGGATATTTCGACATTCCTGATATTTTGCCGAGTGCCCTCGCCAAGGCTGCCCATCAAGATTGGGGTTTCAGCTGGAACTTTGGCGACCAGAAAATTACGTGGCTTGTCCGTCGAAATTATGTATCAGTTGACATCCACCACTTTAAAGCTTTGAAGCTGAAGCTGCAGGTATTGAGTCAGTGGTCTTTCTTACCCTCAAATTCTGCAGGTTGAAGCAAGCGGACGTAGTTTGAGCTTAGTCCCGTCCTGTTGGGACTCCCAAAAAGGACGGAGGCTGAAGAGAATTGCGTTTGACACTTATTCGTGCATCGAGCCCGTTGGCGGGATTGCGGTTAATGTCTGCAACCCGAGTTCCCGAACGGATTGTTGACCAGGCTCATTACCCTGATATCCTCTTCATCTTCCGTCCTGGTTCTTAGAACGGCACATCTCCAGTTTCCGGGTATCGTGGAAAGGAAATATCGATCTTCATGCTGTGTTATTATTCCCCGGAAGGAATAACCATAGGGTTCTGTAAATATTGATGTAAATGGTGCCGTCCCACCTCAAACCCATGAGATGAGAGTATCTACACAGCAACAGGAGGATTAAGAAGCTGGAGTGTGGCTGATGAACCAGTCGCCAACTCAATTGAAGACTTTTCGGAAACGAAGTGAGGGCCGCCGGCCTTCGGCGAACCGCTGTCTCCTTTTTACTGTTTTATTTATTTATTTATTTTTTTTCTGGGAGAGAGATGACATGTTTCCGGCTAGCCGCAACCCAGTCCATTCCGGAGACAGACCTCGCTATAGGAAGCCTTGCGCCAAGTGAGCCGGCGTCCCCTCAAAGATTTGCAGTTCTTTGCACTATCACCAACCATCACAGAACGAATGCTGAGATATTTTCCGATCTGTGTCCCAGATGTATCGGTTTTAATGATCAGTTCCGGTGATTCCGGAAACATTCACGACGCTCCCAGTTCTCGAAGATGGCATGCCCAAAATGACAACCTCAAAGCGTTCGTGCAATTGCTTCCAGTCCAAACCTCGATAATAATTCGCATCCCGCGAAGGACGGAAGGTTCGACATTCTTTTCGGTGAGAGGGAGCTTGAGAATTCATCTCAGAGTTCCGGGGGGTGCGGGAAAGGGACCGCTGGACTGCCGGCGTTGGTGCGAGGCAGATAAGTAGAAACTAATGTGATTATCGCATCCCATTCCACATTTTCCACAAGACAATTAGCAGATGATCAGCTTCAACCTTAAAGTTCCGTCATGAAGCTCGGTGTCTGCCTATTGTTGCAAGCTGCCAGACACCATACGCACCCTCCCATCCCAAAGTTTGTGTCCGTCCTGGAATCAGCGCTGAATTTTCGGTATAATAGTTCTGGGATGACATCTGCCGCGGGTTGGTCAATGCACTTGATAGTATCCTTCGTACGAGTCTGGCGATGGGGGTTCCCATTTAAATCCCTGTCTAATCTAAACCACTCTAACTTGTTTCTTGCTGGAATATTAGGCAAACATCCAAGCTGGCCGGGGTACGGAGGCGGAGTTTTACGGAAGAAGATGGATCAAACACTCTCTACCAGGGTTGCGACCATGTTAGTGGGACGGCTGATAGCTCCATCTCAATTCACAATTTCGCGACGAAGCTCCATTGTCACGTCGTCACAGCTTGGAACTTCCATCCTCTGCCATTGCCCTCCATCTTAATCTAGAAACACAGAAATCTTTCACACATCGACCAATTAGCTGGAGCTCAAACGGAACGCCTACCTTCGTCGAAAAGTGAAGTTTAAAGCGATTTGACAGCAGGGATTGGACAACATAAGTGTTTTCTGACCGAGAAAGAATTTTTTTTTTTTTGTTTCTTACTTCTTGCTCCTATTTACATCCCTGCAGAGTGTGACTCGCCGAGCTTCCCAAAGATCCATGGAGCCTCACACCCCTGCCTTGAGGTCCATTTGTGAATCCGCTGCGGTGGCCGGGTGGCTCCCCCGACCCAACCAACAGAATACGCTAGGCTCCGTTTGCTTCGTAACCTCGCCTTGATGTTGCCTTCGTTCCCCGTTTGTAATTTTCCAGCCTGGGACGGCTTGGGACCTGCACCACCGAAATTTGGCGAGCCCCACCGTAAAAAGTCAGCTGATGTCGTGTTTGGGTCGCGATCGGTACTTCTTCGATGTACCCCCTCCTTAGCCCCTCGTCGCGTTGGGACGTGTCCAGGATCTAGACTCTAACGACAACTCCACGGCACTATAACTCCCTGCACTGCCAGCCTCAGTTCCGTCTCAATTAAGAAAACTGAGGGGAAAAGAACCAACTATCAAATTATTTGGTAGCTTGGGCCGCCTTCCATCCATCCCTTTTTTAATTCACGGTAGTGTGAACGATGTGACAAAATCCCATTCCGAAAAGGTACATACTGTCCTATTTCCAAGTATATAGATAAGACACCATCCCCCCTTCTCTCTGTGAATCTATCTATTCTCCTCTTCTCTCATCCGGACCAGACACGAAGCCTGGCAGCCTGGAAGGTAAGGTTCATCACGACATCAAATAAATCCATCATCACATCTCCATACCCGACGGGTCAACAAATCCGAATCATCATTCTTTACGATTCTCAATAAAATAGACTTTTCTGCCTAAAAACTCCCTGCCTCCAAATTTTGTGCACAGATATCTTCACGAATCTTTTCCATCTTTTCTTTCTATCTTTTTAGAATCCGCATCTCTATTACACCTCGATTTGAATTAAATTTACCGTCAAGTCTAAATTCAAAAGACGATGAATATGTTCGGAAACCGACGTCGAGACTCTACCAAGAGTTTCTCCAAGAGTTACAAGGTGAACAAATCGAGTTCATCCTTTAGTAAAGAGAGCGGCGTTTCCAAGCGGAGGCATGAATCTCGTCACCGGAGGCCGGGAACTGCCTCGACTGCTACGACTAATGAACCTGATACCCCCATCACGAAGTGAGTTTTTCATTCCCGATGAGCCGCACCCCTTTTTTTTGACCTGATCATTTACTAAGATGTGATCTTTCATCAGCCATCTTTCTTCTCCGGTAGTTACCCTCGTTGTCGGTGCCGAGCAGAGGCTTTTTGCCGCTCACGAAGAAGTCCTCTGCCTTTCTCCTTTCTTCCAAACTGCCCTCCACCGAAACGTCGCCGACGGAAACACGAAGCGGATTGCACTTCCCGACGAAGAACCTGAAATATTTTCGTCGGTGCTGGAATTTCTTTACAAGGGCGATTATTATCCTCGCCTTGTTCACAGCAAGAGGCGCAACTCGTGGGAGCTGGAACCTCCCAACGACGATAACCGTGGTGTTGAGCCGACCATCTTTCATCACAGCGTTGATGGAGATCTTCTCAAGGACACCGTGATTTATTGCTCTGCTGAAAAGTATGGTCTGGAGGAGCTTAAGCGTATTGCTCTGAAGAAGCAGGGTCTTCGTAAGTTCATCATTCCGCTCCAACTCGAAGGCGAAACATCCTAACTTGTTTATAGAATCTGGGATCCAGTGTAGTACGATTCTCACGTCGGCCCGATACGCCTATGCCAACACTCCCGACAGCGACTCCAAGTTGCGTGCTCATTACTTGGCTCTTATAATCCGGAGCCGCAGTACTTTCAAGCGAAGTGGTACGATGCAGCTCGAAATGTGGAACGGTGGAACTCCTCTCTTCTTTGATCTCTTCGTTGCCTTATGCAACCACGTCGATGATATTTCGGCAGCCGCGTAAGTACGAGAAGAAAGACAAAGAAAACACGCATCTTGTTACGGGATTGAATAACTAACACAGAGACTTTTAGAAACACTCCTCGCAGCAGCCGACACTCTTAAAGAGAGTCATACACCTTTCCTTTTCTAGACGCACTCCTGTGCAGTGATTTTTCTCCCTTCATCTCTCTATCGGGTCGACCTTTCCTTGACAATCTACACTTAATGATTTTATGTTCGGTGTTCTTGATTTATCTTTTCTCTATTTCTATTTGTTTCTCTTCTTTCCACGTCACACCCCACACTTGTTTTACGAACTTATAGAGGTTTGGCGGGCTTTATGGATTTGCGAAAATCAGACAAAACAAGACAAGACACGAGCATCTGGCGTTTACGTTTTTCATTTCGGAGGCGATCTAGGTTTTTCTTACAACTCTTGGATTTTATGGCGTTCTTCTTTCTTCTTATCTCAATCTGGGCCACCCGGTTGTTTGGTTTTCCTTCTTGGATTGGGATTCCTACTTTTCTTTCTCTTGCTTTTCGATCTGTACCATTATTGTCGAGACTATCTGGACTTAAAGGGAACTGCTGCAGTGTGTTTTCTTCTCCCTGTTTCCTTTCCTCGTCATTGCGTTTGTTTGTTGCAGGCTGGACCCAGAAAGTCTCGAAAATTAAGAATGATACCTCCTTGGGCCGAGACGGTTATGTGTTTTTCTGCCGAGTTGAAGGCAACCAGCAGATTGGATCTCTTCTACACAGGATGCCTTTTTCTGTTTCTTCCAACTTCTTATTTTCTGCTTGTATATTACCTTTCTCGACTCTCATTACCTCGTGCAGAGGCTTAATCTTTAGATGATCATCTTATTTTTGGCGTCATTTTACTCTTGGTCAAGTTACTTCAATTTACATTAAATCTCCGTTCAAGGCCTTGATACGAAGTAAATGTGGGTTCACCAGGAGTGAGAAAAAAAAATCATCAAAATGTAGATCGACACTTCTAACACTAAAATTCCGAGTCACAACATCTCGTACCAGAAACGCGACATCCAGAAACAGCTATTAGAACCTCAGTGACTCTAAAATGTCATTTCTCCATCTTGGTCGCAGACCCCAAAGCCCCAATGTAGTTCATTCATCCCGTCACACCCACCACTAACAGATACCAATACCCACCGTTTACAGCACAATCAAGGCGTTCAAGGCGAACACCGATCTGCCCGAATATGACTCACAAATTGATCATCACCGAATCCTTCCCCGTTTTATCCCGAAAGAAAGTACGTTTTCCTTTCATGAGAAAGGAGAAAATTGCCATTTAACCCAAAGGGGTTAAATTACTGGGACGCCGAGAAAGGTGGGTGTGGAACCGAGGGACTGTTTAAGTGCTTGCATGGACCGGGGATGTTGAAAGGGAAGGATGGGGAATGATAGATCTACTTTTGTGATTTTTTTTTTTCTCTTTTTAATTTAATTCCCTCTTTTCAGCGACAGGGATTAAAATGGATTGTTTCGGAGCCAAGACGCGGAGGGGGCGCTCGATGTTAGAGTCCGAGAGTTCGGGTTGTACCAAGCGTGAAAGAATACACGTCGAGGAAGGCGTAAAACACGGGCCATTTTTCACGGTGATACCATGATGAACTTTTTGCTATCAACTCTTTGCCCCTTGCCTCGGGGGAATCGAAACACGACCAACTCCTTGTATATTCCTTTTTTTGACTGAGCCGATGATCGTGCATGCACCCAACTCTCGAATGGGAAGGGACATGTGGTGGGGAGGCAAACTGGAAAAAGGGGACAGGGGGAAAGGAACAGAAGACAAAATATTACACAAGAATGTTGTCAGCCGGGGAGACTATCTGTCTGCACGTTTGCACTCCAGTCACCCTCCATCTCAACATCCCCAGCTGCACGAAGACACCATCCAACTGGATGCACGAATGCCGCTTGTGCAGGAATGCACCGCTAGGCTTCATCGGGCCACGCCCTCCTCTCTCATACCCCTGTGCCGGGAAAAGCACCGTTTTTTGACAACACCACCATGCCTCGCTCCCTCGCGATGTAGCCTTTCATGAGGTTCTATGGAATGATTGCGCTTGTTAGTGACTCATTCCTTAAGCGAGACGGGAAGCGAATGGAACGGAAAGATTGGTCGGTTCGCCCTCAGATATCAGGACCACAGGGCCACATCGCCTCAGGCGGCAACGCCAACGCCAACACCGAAAGGCACGGTTGGGGAAATGACGCAGTCATCGGCAAGGCAGACAACGCATGACGTCCATTTATTTACAAGGCTGGAGATTTGGGGCCAAAATTGCCAATAGGGTATAAGGCATCCCGGTGAGGTGGACCAATGGGAATTGTCGTCCCCACACCCACCGGCCGGCGCCTTGCGGATGAGTGTCACGGGCGGCAATGAGAACAATCATCATGAAATGACACGTACCTTGTAAATCATATTTGCCAAGAAACATTCCACCTCATCGGTATCAATCCTATCTCCCTCGGACTTGAGGTTGATTGCAGCCTGGAACTCGGCTACGGGTATGCGAGTGCGCCTGATCGGGGCAGCGTCTGGTTCCTTCGATTCGTCGAATCCTCCAGCAATGAACACCTTCCGGAATAAATTCCTCATGGCAATGTCGCGTCCGCGCTCAAGCGCGAGATAAATCTTCAGCTTGACAAACGCCTCTTCGTGCTCCTGGAGCGCGACGTCGAACGCGTGAAGATCACCACTTCTTATGCATTGAGCGATGGGGAGGAATAGGTTCTGGAGGGTGGGGTAAGGCTCGAGAAGTGCTTTGCTCGGAAGTGTATGAGTGGTCAGGAGACGGCAAGGAATGAGGTATGTTAGAATTCGCCTGTCCTAATTAGCCAACGCGTCCATGGACCGTGGAGTGCTGCAGTACTCACTCCTTATTCCGGATAGAATTCTTGTGGCAGAGTTGCCACGCTTCCATCAAATGATCCTCAGCCTAATCTTCAAGTCAGACGTGATCAAATTATTCACCGATAAGGGGACGAAGTTTCCTTACCTCCCTGTAATTTTCCTCCAAGAAGGCGAGGACGCCAGTGTAGTACTTGAACGTTACCCTCTGTGACTTTGGGAAGGCAGACAGAGGCGGCATGTCTCCCTTGTACGCAGTAAGTGCCTTTAGGATATTCCTAGATAAACTCGCCGAGTTGAGCTTGAAATAAGTCTTGAACAGAAGATTGATAATGAAGTAGATGCCCCATTTTCTCGAGGTCTCGACCGGTGCCCTGGAAAAAAAGAGAGCGAGTGAGTCTTTGGTTCCTGCTCCACTTCTGTTTGACATCGAAGGGGCCAATAAACATACCTATCACTCAGGCAGAGCGTAAATATGCGCTTTAGTACCTGCTCACAATCGCGTAGTTGCCCGTTCCTTTCCGTTTCAGGGTCAAAATCATCCGCATAAGATGGGCCTCTATCTGCAGCGGGGTTGTTGGACCTCTCTTGGTCCGACTTCATGGCATACAGCCTCAGATGCTTTCCCATGACATATAGACACGGGATTGTCCAAGCCTCGAAACCATAATTCGAATAACCCCTGATGACAGTCGACGTAAGCTCTTTCCAGGTCTCGTACACTCTTGTCCACGAAGCAGCCTGAAGCACGGCGTTAGTGGGACAATGGAACTTCCTTGCCAGAGTAGTACATATGGGGACGGACCTTGTCATTATCATTGATATGCTCAGCCAATGGTACAATTGCGGACACTGCCTTCCAGTACGCGGCAAGAATGTCTACCCATCCAGTAAACTCTTCATTCGTTAAGTTGCTGATGTAGGAAGACCTCCTCATTGCCCGAGTGACATCCTTCTTCACTGATGCTGCATTTGTGCTCCGAGCTATAGACCGGAGCCGATCAGGCTGGTCGGGCGGAGACAAGGGTAGAAGGAGCTGCGCAACTACATAGCCATTGCCTGATGCGTGAGCGTCAGCAAGCTCCTTGACGAGCTTGTCCATGGCTCTGGCGCGAGAATTATGGAGTGAGAAGTTCGTATTCGAGAAAGATTTCACGGACAAGAAGAATGGCAACTCCGAGGTTATAATGTGGCAAAATTATGTTCGGTCTTGGGCTGAAGTAAACAATGCACCCCCAACATTGAAGTCACACTGAAACACCGTCGAAGTCGAAGAAGCTTGGCTGGGTACAGAACTATTACTGAGCGCCTCCGTCGCCCACCTTCTCTCGCTTCTGCCCCACTATTTCAGTCGGGAGGGTCAGTGCACAGGGACCCGAAATCTTTATCTTTAAAGAGTCACATGGAGATAAAGTCTCTGTGGCTAGTAGGGCACTAGCCACACACCGTCTGTTCACAAGTGGATGCCCCACGAAATTTTTGGTGGCTTGAGTTTCTCCGACTGGTGCGTTAGGGCTCACCCAAAAAAATATTCCACACTCCCGCTTTCTCACGAACCTTGCTGTGAATCTTCAATTCCGAAGCCATCACAACATCAACCCTCGAAATCGGCCAACAGTCCAACTTGACAAAGTAAGTTTCCTTTTCGCCTACCCTCAAATAATTGGTATTCGGAATTCTAACTCTGCGATAAAGATGGGTAAGCAGTTTCTTTCGTTTGTCTGTGATTCTGGATCGGAATTTCTCTCGTTTCCTCTCAAGCGACCGCCATCCTGCAACGACGATTCCTCGATGTGTTTATCCCCGGCCGAATTCGAAACTCCTTGAATTTCCGCTGCCCCAAGTCGAGCGAATCGATGCTGTGATTGTCGGCAACTTCTTCGAAGGCTGAGGGCCAGCAAATCAAATCACCGCGTCCTTCGAACACTGGATCGAGTTCAGCCGCGGCTACGGGGAAAATTGCAAGGAGAGCACGAAGAACGCCATCACCTCTAGATATGATAGCCTGGGCGGCTTTCTGCAGTTGCTTGACGCCTGGTTTTGAGGGCCGAACCGGAGGGCTGGAGAAATTGTGATCGTGTGCGCCAAAATGCATTGAGACTGATGGACATGATTTAGGTCGCCTTCAAGAGTACGAGGTCATCGGCCGCCACTTGCCCACCGAGGCCAACCCTACCCCCACCCTCTACCGCATGACCATCTTCGCCCCCAACACTGCGGTCGCCAAGTCCCGATTCTGGTACTTCTTGCGAGGTCTCAAGAAGGTCAAGAAGGCTACCGGCGAGGTCGTCTCTATTAAGGAGGTACGGAAACACAGTGATGGCTTTGGGCTCTATTTTTTTGATGTGGCTTGGGCTCACGCAGGATGATATTTTTTTTCGCAGATTCACGAGAAGCACCCCACCAAGGTCAAGAACTTCGGTATCTGGATCCGATATGACTCCCGCTCTGGCACCCACAACATGTACAAGGAGTACCGTGAGATGTCCAGGACGGATGCCGTCGAGTCCCTCTACTCCGACATGGCTGCCCGCCACCGTGCCCGTTTCCGATCCATCCACGTATGTCATTACCTGGCCCCTTACGCTTTAGACGTCAAGTAGGAGAGGTTGGGGTGACTAACCCAAGAATACAGATTCTCCGTGTCGTCGAGATCGAGAAGACCGAGGACGTCAAGAGGCAATACATCAAGCAGCTCGTAACCAAGAACCTCAAGTTCCCTCTTCCTCACCGTGTTTCCAAGATCAACAACAAGAAGCTCTTCAGCGCCAAGCGCCCCTCGACTTTCGCTTAAGGGTTGTTGTCATTTTTTTCAGGGGCAGGTTGTTTTCGTCAGGGTTCGAAGGGTGTTCATTACGGTCCATGGAAAATATCTGCATTTGGTCCATGTTAGGATGGGCACAACCAATTCATGCAAAAAAATGAATGAACCAAAACTACGATTGTAATGCGCTCCAGTGACACCTGTGGTTTTGTGAAAAAGGGAGGAGAGAGTGGGAGTTTCTTAGGGTTCGATGCATGGAAGGAAGCAAGACGTACCGGTATTGAAACCTCGGAAGGCGGGCAGCAGCTGAAATATCTATCTTCTCAGCTCCGCCACTCGAAGGATGATTGAAGAGGTAGATGGCCAATTTCAATCTATTCGAGTGATTCCTAGGCAAGTGTCAAAAGCAGATATGAATAGAGGCATGTTCCGAAGTCGTCAATAAGTCGTTTTCTAGGAAGGTGGTATTTCCAGTTCCCGCTTCTAGTCGGCGTAGTTGACCCGAGTTTTACTTGCCAAGGGCGCGGCTCTCTGATTGATCGATGCCTAGCATGGAAACTAGGGAAAATCGAGCAATAAAAGACCTCGCTCCGTCTGATAAGGGCTCGCAAGTGTGGCTCACACAGAAGTCCAGGCATCAACAGACAATAGCAACAGCAACATCAACACTCGACACTCCAAGCAATACAAAACGCAGGTACGCTTCACAGAATCATGGAGCCCACCGTGATAACACGCCGAAAAGTCAAGACCACCCTCCCGGTCGCCCCCTACCCCACACTCGGGGACCGCATATCCCTCGAAACCCCGCGCCTCCTCATCCGTCCCCTCACGGAAGATGACCTCGAACCTCTCCATGCCCTCCGGAGAGTAGAGTCCGTCATGATCTGGACAAGCCAAGGCCACATCGACCCGGACATCGAAGCCACAAAGAAGAAGTTGGCCGAATTCCTACCCCCCAAAGACAAGCACACCTACAACTTTGCCATCTGCGAGCGGGAAACGGGAGAGTTCATCGGCATGGGCGGCAACCTGTGGAGACAGGATTTCTTTGGGTGGCCTGAGGTGGGGTATATGTTTCATCCAAGCGTCTGGGGGAAGGGCTACGCGACGGAGTTTATGAAGGGGTTCATGGAGATGTGGTGGCAGTTGCCGAGGGTCGAGGAGGAGGTGGAGGTGGCGACCTGCAGCATAAAGGTTGATGGGGATGTAGAAGAAGGTGATGTTGTACGGGAGGGGATGATTGGAATTACGGATGCGGCGAATCTGGCGAGTGCGAAGGTGTTGGAGAAGGGTGGGTTTGAGAGGTTAGAGGATTGGATTGTTGAGAATAATAAGGGGAAGGAACTGGACCGGCTCTTTGTGTTTGCGTGTCCCAGACCTGAACCTTGAAGGACTCATGGAGGCTAATGCATTTCAGTATAATTGAGACGGCTAATCTTCATTAGTGACTTACCGGGCAAGAGTACAAAGTGTATTCTAGGTTTCGTTGGTCTATAGTCATTTGTAGGAATAAAGAAGCTAGCTTGAAGGTGTACTCGGAATGTATTAAACTACCACAACCATTTGCGTCCGGAAAGTTTATGAGACAATAGATTAACAAGCGAAAAGCAGCCAAAGAACAAGAGAGTCTAACCCCTCGCGCCGAAGGCTGGGAAGTCGGGAGTAACATCTCTCATCGGAGGACACGCAAACCGCACAAGATACCCCTGCGCGGACACTTCCCCGTTAGCAATGATGTCTCCATTGGGAGCCTTGACCTCTACTAAGAATGCGAGGTCCGCCTGGGCGTTGGCCCACATGACTCGGAAAGGCGTATAAGATCCCTCCACCAGGCGTACCTTGACAGTCTTGACCGTTGTTCCACCCTGTACATAGGTCTGCTCCAGGTTGGCGTTCTGGCGAGTATAGCCCGTATAAGCATTAGGCCCAACCCAGACGAGGGTGATGTCATCCGAGTATGAAACGGTAATCTCGTAGTCTCCAGTAATGGGAGGGTATAGATAGGCTCGATGGTTGACCATGGCGTACTGGAGGAGTAGAGAGGGGGAACCACCGTAGATGCTCAAGGCCTGGTTTGCCTGCTGTTGCCCGGGTACGACGCCCATGCGCTCTGTTTCTCCGACGAATATAGGAACGCTGTAATAGAAATTTTCTGGAGAGAATGTGCTGCACTTGGGTGGGTCAGCGTTGATGTATGAGTTCCAGTAGATGGCGTACTCGATATCCTGGTTGTTGCAGCTTTTATCCGGAATGGAAATGGAAGACGTAGAAGCTGATACTGTATGGCTGTCGCTTCCCGTGGATCTCTCTAAAGTAGGGTCCGCCGTTGAAGTGCTTGAGATCCTTCCTCTATGGAGCTCGAAGAAGAACTGATTGGGAGGGCAGACGAAGACTCCGACGTGGAGCTCGATTGAGCTTCTAGAGGGACTATCTCCACGGAGCGAAAACTGATGGAATTTGGCTCAACCTGTACCGTCGCTGAGCTCAGGCTGGATTTAGTAACCCGTAGCTCTACAAACTGACTGAGGCCAACAGGAGTCGTGGAAGACGTCTCGACGCTGAGAGATGGAGAATCAGTGCTTTGTAGACCATTGTCTGGGGCAGAGGTGCTTGTGACCGGGCTAGATTCTGAAATAGAAGTAGTCGCAGGAGTGACATGAGTGCTCTCAGGGTCGATTCTGGAGCTGGGGCTGGAGCTGGACCGGGCCTGCCGCCCCTCTGGTGAGGCTAAGCAGTGGAAAGTTCCCGCAAGGCGAGAAATATGGGGAAAGACTGAAGGGTGGTCAGGCGTGCCATTGCGATGGGGTGAGGCAGCTGGTGATAATTGAAAGCCTTCGGGAAGAAACCGCATGGAGAGAGAGCGACAAAGGTTATATGTAGTATGCACTTCCCGCAATGGTGTAAAACGATACCCTGCGGTCAACAAAGTCTCCGAGCCATCTCCTAACCAACAGTACTTTCGGTCTCTGGGTTCCGGACCTAGTGAGCAATCCAGAGAGCTCTCGCGGGAAGGTTCATCCTGGCTCACGAATCATGGAACTAGACATTGCCAGGTACCTGCGCCTTGCTCAGAGGACTACTGTCTATCCTCGAAAGAGTAGACTCGAGGTTACAAAGCACGACGCTGATATGCAGGGCTCCAGGCTTATCCGTATCGGAAGCAATTCTCTTGCGACAGTTCCAGGTTTGCAGTTCCATTGTGTTACAGGTTAGGAAGTAGCAATATTGTAGGATTCGATTCTCCTCGAGGGGGCAGCCGGAGAAGTGGATGTTCTCATCGTCAAGGCCGCACTTCCAGTTCTCTTCTTGGTCGATGTTAGAGGTAAACAGCGCTGCCATCGATCGATGTAGAACGAAAGATACCCGCGCTCTTGTCGTGTGAGTCGAACCGAGTCAACCCGTGTCATTCCATACAGGCTGACTTTTCCTGCCCCGATTCGACCCTTGAACACATTCCGATCTCAAATAGGGAACCTGCCCGGAGTCTCTGCCTGTCCCGGTTTCGGAGGCTTGGTCCTCCCGACAGGACGGAAGGCCACCCTTAACTAGGTTCGTCGACAAAGTTTGTGTCTGCCAATCGGAGATTTGAAATTAAAGTTAAGCCCCTTCCTCGGAAGACGTTAAAGTTGGATCTGGTCCACGACGCCACCTCGGTCAGTTTAAACGTCGCGTGGTTATCTTAGCTACCGATGGCGAGGGTGCTGGAACGCCCATTACTTGCTTCTTGGGTGAGCTCACATATGCTATCATATTGAACGTTCCTCAGGTCTATCTTTGTCCGTCTAACGACCAAACCTGATCTAGTTCTGCTATGTTTCTTTATCATCCGTCCCCCATCACACACATGTAAATAATCTTGTTCCCTATTTGCCAGTCGCTGAACACGGAGTCCATTGAATGACTCGTCCTCGAGTGATCCTTTAAGCAGCTCCTAATAATCGTAATCGTGTCTCGTTCTCCTTGGCTTGGACTCTGGTGATGCTTGAAGCCCAATCTTACCTCGTTGGTGATGGACTTGCTGCGCGGGTATGACGTGACTCGTCCTCCAATGTCACCTTCGAAATCACTCCATTCCACTTCAAGCATGTTTCCTTTAGCACAAATTCCAAGACAAGCAGCCGTTAGATTTGGCCACCTAGGACGAATCACTCTTACTCGACAGAGACAATGTGACGATATGAGTTGCGGAACGAGCAAGACACCAACCATTTCTTTGGCGTGCAGCTTTGAACGTTGCCCATTGGAGCCTGCTCTGTCCTCGAAGGCTATCTGGCAACTACGGCAGTGAGGGTTTTGGTGTTAGGAAAACGAAAAAAAAAAAAAAAAAAAAAAAAAAAAAAAAGAAAAAAAAAAAAAAAAAAAAAAAAAAAAAAAAAAAGGTAGGGTGAGACCTTATCAGATTGGCGAGAAGTGGTATCGAGTCTGGAGGCGGTCTTATTTCGAGATTGCCCGCAGATTTCCGAGAGTGTTAAATGAGGACATCGTGCAAATCTCACCGAAGTTTCCAATCTCGTCGACAGTCAGTCGGGATGTCGAGGACAAATGGAGGGAAAGATAACGAAGACTCGCTGTCAGACAGCTGTGATTAATTTCTATGTCACTATGGAGCTGGAAGCTTGGGCTGAGCGGCTGAGGCGTCCCAAAGTTGTCAACCAGGGAGATGTTTGGGAGTTCCTCGGCTCACCCATCTCTTCTTCCCCTTTTATGGAGGGTGGAATTGCCGCCCTTTCTTGTGTAAGCTTCCTGGATGACTTGAAAGAAAGCAGGGCAACGAAGCATTACTCGTGGCGAAAAATCAAAGTAGCTCACTCGGAGGTCACCAACCTCCGCCACCTAATGGACGGAGTCAGAGTAAGAGCTCATCGGATCCTAATCTAGCTAGGCTCGTTGAGGAGAAGTGGCACGAGGGAAGAAGCTCCCCAGAATTATGCTATCATATCATTACATCAAATAGATCTCAGTCGAACAAATTAGAAGGCGGCAAGAGGGAGGATGGAGCAATCAAGATGCAAGTGTTCTCAAGTGCTGCTTCCAAATGCTGCGGCCACGGGTGTGACTGCCGAGAAAACGCAACTGGCAAGGACGTTTTGATTCTGCGCTCTGCTGAGTCACCAGAGATTTGGCGGCCTCTGGTGACTGTGACGCGGTCCCGCAACGACCAGCCCTGCTTCCAATGCCCCCCGCAGTAGCCCACGACATTGGAGAACGGGATCCGCCACCACGCCGATTCCATCATTGCTCGCGGGCGAGACGCAGGCCGTGGCAGTGGATGTGGTTGGTTTTGGGCCTGCACGTGTCAAAGCCACCCGCGGCCAACGATTTAGCTCGAATTATTCACTGGCCAGGCCAAACCAAGGCGGAGCGCCAGTGTGGGCTGACGGCTGGAAATAGCACAACTGCAGAACCCAGCAATCCCTGTGCTCTCCAGCTGCTGCGCCAAGATCCGCGATATCAGGATCCATAATAGGATGAGACCGGAGGAGCTTGTCCATTCTCCCCCCGCTCAGCCAACAAAGACCCCATCGTCACATGGATGAGCCCGAGGCCAAGCCAAAGGCCCAAGTTCACTTTGCAACAGCATCCAGGCAGCAGAGGGAAGGGAACTTCAAATCCGAGCTCGAAACGGGCAAGGGAACAGATGGGGACTGCACTTCGTCCTTGCATTTTGTACATTTTGCAGGATGACAACGGCCAATGCCTGATCCCGACGGTTGCATCCGCGATTATTTAGGTTCCCGCGTCGCCTTCATCATACGAACAAGTAAGTGTCCAGCCCTTCCCGCCATCGCACCAAGTCCTTTTCAGGCAGAACCTCCGACCGCACATTCTCCCTCTTTCCTTTGACTATTTCCCTCAAGCGTATCCTTCTCTTTTCTTTTCCTTATTCATTTGAAGGCGCCCGCTCTTTTTGAAATTCTTTTCTTACGGGGAATCTCTCAACATATCAGAGCTCTCTGTACGACTACAAGCAGAAATCTCCGCCACTGGATCCCTCTTCGATTGCGATCCATCCGCTGGTGTGCGAAGTGGGGTTGACGTCAGCAACGACGATTGAGCTAGCAACATGGCGTCCCAAACACCAGACCCAAAGACCTATTATGGCTATCTATTTAAGGAGGATAGGGAGCCGACCGAGACGTTAGATGCCCTCTTGAGGGCCATCGCCCGGTATATAGTATGATCTAGCCCTTGATTTCGAGATGAGGCAGTCGCCAGCGGCAGTGTCGAAAGCGAACAACATGGCTGGCCAGACTCGACTAACCGCCACCTTTTTGCGCTTAATAGAGTTTGGAAATCGACGATAAGACGCAGACCAAATTAACACCCAAGAAAATAGCAGCATACTACCGTGCTGCTGGCGGCAATTATGACAGTAAGTCAGCGCCACTCATCATCCCATTCATGGCTCACCTTTGCGGTCTGCAATTCGTGATGTTGGGGTTATTGACGCAATACTCTCTCTACGTTTAGGCTTATTCCTCAGCATGGAGGGCGAGACGATATCTTACATCTTTAGTACAATTGGATGCCAGCACACGCTACAACCAGTTCCCGAAGACGACTTCAGACCTCCGTGCATACCAGCTCTAACGACCCGTGGCTTCGTCCGATGGCAGTCTGTCGAGCTGCTGTTGTCGCCGTCCATAAACGTTCCGCTTCTCCAGTTCGCAGTAGAAAACTGGCACCTGAAGCATCCCGATACCGGGGAGCCGTTCCCTTCTCCGCTACCGGCCGAGGCCTTCCCGAGTGAGCCCGACAAGAAGATTAAAAAATGGTGGGAGGACAAGTTGGAGTCGTTCAGGGAGCATGACCCATCCGCGGAAGAGGGGCCAGAACCGGAACCAGAACCTGAGCGAGAGCCACGGCCACATGTCAAAACGAAATCGCCCAGTTCGTCCGGATCGCGGACCTCCCCACGGCGAGCGAGAGCTGTCCACGTGAGCAGCAGCGATGAGTCGGCGGAGAGCGAGCCTATTAGGGGCCGGCCAAGAGGCGCTGGAGGCGTCAACTATGTCTTTGCCGAGCGTCCGGCCCCAAGGCATCATCCTGATACCTTCGTCTCTCCCACGTTCAAGGACGAGCACATCCCCCAGAGGCGTAGGAGCCTTTCGATGCGCACATCGCCCACTAGGCGCCGGTCCCCCGATATCCCCCGGCAACGACCTTTGAGGAGGAAGCCTAGTCCCAAGGTTGCGCCCGTCATAATCCCTTCAGACGAATCGCCAAGCCCGACGATGCGCTCGAGAGCAACTTATGGCAGCGATCCAACGCTACACAAGCTCCCTCTGCGGTCCTCCGTCCGCCATGTACCGCCTGGACACGGATCGCCTCACCATGGGTCACCTCACCATGGGTCGCCTCGCAGGGGTTACTCGCCTGGCTTGCGACCCCCTGTTGATACTAGGCACGACGATAGACGGAAGAGTTTTCCATTTGGGGGAGTAGATAAGCTGATGAACACAGTCTCGAGCATGCTCTCAAGAACCCCCGAAAGGCGGCGGAGTTCATCGAGGACAAACTTGCACGGGGCAAACAATTACAGTCGCGATGACGACTACGGACACCGCCTTGATCGACACTCACCTGATGCCGACGACTCCGACGCCGATTCTTCTGAGAGAGGGCGAAGGCGTAGGCAGAAAGAATGGGAGAGGGATCGAGATCGAGATCGGTTCAGGGCGGAGCCGCGTGGCAAAGAGAGATATGATCTGGATAGAGACCGCGATTACGAGAGAGATAGAGACGGACTTCGAAATAGAGGTGATGGCCTCCGAGAGAGGGATCGAGAGCGCGAGCGCGAGAGAGACCATATTTACGACGATAGACCGCTACGGCCGGCGCCGCGCAGGGGGAGTCCGTACCGGCGCATGACAAGCCATGATGCAGAGAGGAGGCACCCACCGGATGATTGGATGGAGTTCGAGGCAGAGAGAGGTGCACCGAGGCATGGGCCTCCTAGGAGGCGGAGAGAAGGGCACGCCTATCGTGATGGCAGAGACTAGGAATATGGCTTTTTTTGCTTCTTTCCTTTTTTTCCACTTTTGCGTTGATACTGTTGCATCCCCCGACGATTTTGGTGCTACCAGCCACATTCACAGGTTTTCATAGCTACGCGTTGGGAAGCGAGCATATGTTACGATTTGGCTACGATAGGTATACGACTTGGGCATGATTATTATGAAAGGGCAAAAACGGAGTTATAGTGAGGATGGTCATTTGTGTCTCGGACTCAAAATTGGAGATACGGAGAGCATCTACATAAGTTTAGTACAGTTCTTGGATGTATTTATTTTCGCAATCTGTCGACGATTGACTCAGGTCCCAAGATTCGCCTCGCCGTTTATAGAAAGATAGCTAGATGAAGTCTTCTTGGACGTTAAAAAAAAAAATCCAATGATGATGAGGAACTTTTTTTCTACATGGCGTTTACCTGGGGAACGCTGAGGACTGGCGTGGCAGGACTGGTCTCACTTCACCTTTTCCGAATAGCCTGGCGAATGGCGAGGGCAGTTATTACGTGTCCTGCCCCAAAAAATCTGTGTACTCGAGGAAGAGCAACACCAACCAGTCTTCAAGGCGATCTTTGACGAAGTAAGGCGAGCGACGTTTCTTGCTTCATCCAAGTCAATCAGCAGGTAGAGGATGCGGAGCGGGATCTAGCAATAGTACGCCCTCGATATAGGGTCACGGCACACACGCCTCACGGAAGAAGGGGCACAAAAAAGAAAAATCAAAGACGACGATCTATCGTTACGAGACGGGGCGGGGGCGGGAAGAGGGGGGGCAAGAGATTCCCAAGATCCTGGGCAACTCGGGCGGTGGATGTTCAGCACGGCGTCTCGCTTCTTCTCTCGGCTATTGGGGATGTTTGGGTTTGTTTGGTATTCACCCCTTGCTTATTGGGTGCTTGGGATGTTTACTATTACTATTTTTCCTTCTTTTCTTTCTTCTTTTTGGCATGTTTGCTTCATTTGTCTCACCCTTTTCCCACTCGTAAACGCGTGCCCTCGTTTTATTCACCCAAAATGGATGGATGCGAGAAAAAGACCTGCTTGATCCGGGGGGGTGAAATCGGAAAGGAGGGAGGGCTAATTTTGCACTTCGTAAACTAGAAGCGGGATTTAAATCACAGTGAGAGGGAAATAGTTTTGGAAACGTCAGTTGGTTCGGTCGCTTGCGTGGAAGGGGCAGTGGTGGGATGAGGATCATCCTGGGATGTTGCAGATCTGGAATTTGCTGAAAGGCCGAAGGGCTCGAGCTGGCAATCACGGTCTCGGCGATGGTCTTGGTGTAATACTCCGTACGTGTGAGCGTTGAGTAGGTTGCACTTCGTGGCATTGAGAGATCCAGGGACCACGAAATAAATCCCATGAGAAACGTAGTGATAGGGAGACGGTAGGACACAACATTGAAGGCGGGGCGGTTGCATCTGCATCACAGAACTGAGACGACTGGTCGTTTTTTTCGTAGGTAAGCTAATTAGTATGTCCTCCGTTACGACCGGTTCAGCTGATCAGTCTGAAAAGTTGGTGGGGAAGAAAGACGGGTCGAGTCGAGAACATGGAAAATGGCAATGCCGTGATGCTTGAAGGACTTGCCTTTGGCCTCTGCTAGAATCTAGATCCGGAAATGGTCCTGGTGCGCATGCGGCGCTAGGAACATTTCTAGGCTTGACCGCCGTTTTTTCTGGACAGCGACTCTCCAAGTAGACGACCCAGTTCCTATTGTCCAGTTAATGCCCCACCATCATGACAATGGTGTGGTGTACTGAGGGTATTGCTTGTCTGTTCTGTCTGTGAGCAACGAGCCCAAGGACCTATGAGTAGAGTCGTCGGGTTCTTGTTATGATGGTCAGCCATACCAAGTATCAGGGGGATCTAAATACTCCCTAAGGGGAGGGGAGCCAGGGCATGGGCATGAGCATGAGGAATAATGAGTCGCCCATCGAAGACAACAGTTCTTAACTGGCTGCATTAATGGTCAGGTTCTTGCCGCCAGCCATCCACCGGATCCAGATGCAGATGTGCCTCCCCTCCCCCTCCATTCCATTGGATTCCCATTTCCGGCCTCCGATAATTTATAGATTGCGAGGTGCTAGTTGGTAATCTAAGAGCGGTATTGTCGTGCACGATACCGTCCTGGAGAAACCTGGGTGGGTGTCATTTTCTCATCAACAATCAATCTGATCGTTGCTGATGATGCAATTGGCAATTTGGATTACCAGCACACGGTGTTGTGATATATGATTACCCCTCCATAATCGGATGCTGGATGAGGCGTGAAGCAGTCTCCGTCCCTCGAAGGCTTGGGCCTGAGGCATAGCAATGCACGTCATAGTAATATTAACCAAACTGTTGAGTATGGCCTCAAGTGATTTGAACATCCGAAGTTGTGTAAGCGATTTGTGGGCTACTAAAAGATGGATGGACGGATCTTTCGTGCTGAATTCTCTCGAGCGGAGGACGGCTCTCGGTTTGCTTTTTGTTGTTTGCTGTAGGGTAGGACTTGGTATGGCTTGTTTCCCTTGAGTTGGCTCGAAGGAGCGGGCTGCAGACTTCGTCGTGGTGAAGGTTAGACTCACAAGGAAGAAGAACCCGATCTAGACGGTCCTCGGCGCCTCCACAGTTTGACACGCAACGCAACGCAACGCAACGCACCACACAGGTCAGGGCGACGGGCTGCCTGCCCAAACAGCTGTGAAGTCATCCCTCGCGACTTCAACGTTGAAGTTGCCTTTTTTAATAGGAGGAGCTAAGACTGCCAACAGCCAGGCAGACCAGGGGTTCATTGTCGTCATGCATTCTCTTTCCCAATCACATATCAGCTCAGGTTCCCTCACTTCCCTCACTTCCCTCCATGGTCATCCAAGTCATCATCAAATCGATGTGTGGATGTGTGTGTGAACAAGTATTCCGTACCGTCTCGTCACTGGTCGGTTCAGTCTGCCCTGCAACTTTCCGCTGGTTCCCTCGCCGTGCCACCAACGACCCAAACTCTGCCCCCTCCAAGGCAATCAGGCGCATGTCATTGGCCGAGGACTCAACCTCCACAGTCTTACGGAGTCCACCCTGTCTCATGCCTCAGCACGCCCACAGACCTCAGCCACCGAGACAGGAGAGAATTGGATGAGGAGAGGATGCAGGACGGCAGGACCTGGCTTGGCTTGGCTGGTCGGGGCCTGCGATTCGACTCGACTCATTTTCTTGTTTGGCAAACCTCTTTCAAAGACGGGCGAGCCCAGACCAACCAGACTGAACCACAAGAGCGCAAGCTCCGAACACACATCAATTGACGCATCTTTTGGCGCGCTCCACAGGTACCAGTCGTACTAATACCCAATACATCAGACCCAACTTCGAACGCACCTGCCACCCTCCCTTTCCCCCCGGTTCCAGTCCCGATTCCGATTCTGCATCCCCAACCTGGCTCGCTCACACATCTGTCATACTCAGAAGGGGATAAAACATGGTTGTTATGTGTTATACAGCGAATGGAATGTATTATCGTACCAGCATTTTTTTCCCAGGGTCTCCGCTTTGGGCTCATATCCGTTGTTGGAAACACCTGCTCAGCCCAGCGCAGCACAGAGAAGCACAGAGGAGCAAAACCTTGTCACTCCTGACCTATAATAATAGTATTGATTCGTGCTTGTGCTGCTCACGTAGTTCTCGACTCTGATCATCTTTCGTTCTCTGTTCTTCAGTTTCTTTGCTTTACCTCCTTTCCCCCTCTTCCACGTCAACTCTCACCATATCCGGCGTACCCATTGTACCCATACGTACAATATCTCCTTCAAGTCGATCGTTAGCCCAAGGCGCCTTCCTGCACTCCAGATCTCCCAGCTTCTCCGTCTCCACTCTAGGTCCGGAGTGCACCACAGAGGTGCACCCAAGCATCGCTGTTGCCTCCTTCTGCCTACGAAATAGGTACCTTCCAGTCTACCTTCCAGTCTACCTTCCAGTCTGGTTTGCCTCTAGCTCCTTCCATCTGCTTCCTGGTCTCACCTGCCCCTGCGCCAATCGGTCTCCGAGTACGAAGTAATACAAGTACACTAGTTTCCAACTATTTTATGCTGCCGCCCTCCTCGATCCGATCTCATCCCAACATCGAACCCACCAAGACCTCTTCCCCGTTATTTACTTTGTCTGTCCCCGTCACCTACCCTTTCCTGCTTTTCGGCCTTCCCATTCTCTTCTCTTCCTGCTGCTCCTACCTTGTTTCATCTTGACCCGATCTCGTTCTCTTACTCGCTCACCCACATTCACGCTGGCGCCAACAACCAACCCCACTAGGCCTCAAGATTGAACTAACACCTCACATTCCACATTCACATTGAAGCGCACCCAAAATATTCATTAGCTTCCTCTCTCAAACTGCCCCGCTTGTTCTTATCGTCTCGTCCCCCCCCCCCCCCCCCCCCCCCCCCCCCCCGCTCGTGCCCTCTTCGAAACTAAAACCGACATTGTGACAACGCAAGTTAAACCTTTTTCGGGACCCCTTTCGCACGAACGGCGCAATCCGGGCTCCTCCGTGGACCTTTTGTGGAGCGTAACCTGAGTTCTGCAGTGGGTGTTAGTGCAGTCTCATCTCAAACCTACCAAGTAGACTGGGAGGCTTGGTCGGCCTGTCAGATGCTAAGCCGCACCCAATCCACGACCGGCCTGATCTAGAAGTCGCAATCACACGTTCTCATGCGTTCCGAATTTAGAGCCTAGATTCGCATTGAGTAGCCTCGAAAGTCCCTTTTTAAATACCCACCGACTTGCTCCGATCTACGGGCTTCGTCGTTCTTATTCTTTTCAGTTCCAGCTACCGCGAGCAGCTTTCTCCTTTTTCGACAAACCCCACGGCTCAACCCAGCAACTCCTCAGCACGTGTATTTCAACATGAAGGGCAGACCAGTCGACGAGCTCGTTTACGAGTACATGTTCCCTAAGCCCAGGCAAAACGACCCGCCCAACTTCAGCGCTCTTCTGCAGAGGAGTCTCATTCCCGAAGTGAGGCAGGAAGTGCATTCGTTCTACGGACATCTAGACACTCCCGAAGCGAAGTACCCTGGCCTAGACTACTGCCACCCGATCCACCGCATTCGTTTGGGCCGGTGGGCGTGGCACAGGCGGCTCTTCCGCGCGTTCGACGCCCTCCGCCTTACACCCTACGAGATTTCCAACTTGACAAAGTGGGAAGGCACGAAATGGGCGAAGGAGAGATATGAGCGGGAACAGGGCGCTCCCATCCGCGATACCGCAGCCGACGGGTTCCCCGACTGGGTAGAACCCGAGAATCGCGTCCCTTCTCCGCTAACTCCGACGGTCGAGGAAGCGCCGTCTGTGTTGTCGAACGAAGCCGAGGAGATGGATGCGACATTAGACGACGCCGATGCCGATTCCGACGAGGGAGGCTACGACGAGAGCGATGAGACGCTGGAGAGTGTGGGGCCGGTCCTCAACGAGCGACTCCGCGAGCAAATTGCCCGGCGGGAAGCCGGCGATACCACAGCGGTCCTCGACGAGGAATGGGAGCAATGGCTGAAGAATGCGCTCGAGGCCGGCGAACTGCCTGATCTAGCCGATGCGATCTCTCAAGGAGCCTCGACGATTGCAAGTTTCGTGCCCCAACTCTCACTATTCCCGCCTAGCATGCTTGAAGCCGCGAGGGCTGGGCAGTGGAACGAGATACCCGACTTTTTGCATGGTACACTGAGAGGAGTGCTGCTGAGAGAATTGACGAGCGGCCAATCTTCCACGCCCACGACACCGACGAGGACAAGTACGAGCGCGAGCACGAGTACGAACACAAATGGCGAATCCGCACCGAGACAGGTTCCGGCCATGCAACCGCAACCCCCCAATCCCATGCATCACCAAAGACAGTTCCACCGGCACAATTATAGAAGCTATTCCGATCTCCGGCTTCCTAGCTCCAACCCGCTGCATAGGACGGCACAAGCCCGCGGGTCGTAGACGCCCCGGCCGGTTCAACCTTGTCATTTTTTTTTCCCTCGCCTTCTAATGATTTTCCTTTTCTTAAATTAACCCTGCATCAATATATTACCCTGCCTGCACGAACCGATGACGCCTTTCCGCGCGTTCCCAGGTTGACCAGAACCAGCCCACCATTGCCTCCCCTTTTATTTATTATTATTATTGTTTCTCGTGTTCACTAAGCACAGCCTGCACCGTTTCCAAGCGAAATCACATGGGGGAGTTTTCCTTTTTTTTCCCTTTTTTCTGGGTCTTCGGTAATGAAAGGATCAATAGATGACGACACAATGTTTTGGGAGGAATTTGATTGGGATGGGGATTTTTTTTTTATTCGGCGGGACACTCCTGGCCCTTTGCATCCTCGATTGCTCCCAGCTTTTATCCCCTTTTCTTTTGTCTCCCTGTTTTTTTACGCTATGATAAAATGAACAAAATTCAACGACGAAAGTATCTGATTATTGTGCCTTGTTTGCGTGCGCTCCTTGCTTGCGGCTGGCCTGTGATTGTTGATCCTCGGTGGCTGTGGGGGGTTGACCGAGTGGACTTCGGGGGTGGCGGGGTGACTTGATGTGATCAAGAGTTCTCAATGCGACACGGTCAGCTGGATCATGACGGCTCAGCGCGAGATGTACAAATGATTTCAATGTTTTCAGCACCGTTTCCTGGAAGGGACTCCCTTGCCCATCTCATTTATTATGCTCGTGATTCACCGAGAGACACCGATATAAAGCCAAAGTTTCTCAGGGGTTCGGGTGGTCCGGTCTCGCTTCTCGTAGGCTCACCGTATTCATTTGATACTTCGGATCAATCTTGATCTTATTCACCACCACAGGTCAAGCGATGGGCTGAACCAAGTCCACAAAGCAGACCGGAGAGTTTACGCCGTTCAGCCTTCTTCACGTAGTTCTCCAAGTTTCAAAACCTCTTCCAAGGGATTCAATACCAAACATTGACGTCTTTCTTTCGTTCAAGGTTTCGTTTCATACATAACTCTTCTCATTTCCGTATATACCCGATCAAACCCTGATCTTGAAGACTCCCTTTTGCAGCCAAACAAGAACATCCACAACGCCGATACCATAAAAATGTTGTTGTAACCATTTACCCTTTACCATCCCTGACTATCCATGCGCCATACGTGAGAAACTGAGAGAGAGAAAAAATGACGCGAGGTAGAGGTTAAACGGAGACCGCTAAAACAAAATAAAAATAGCAGGGAAGACAAGAAAATGGCCTCAAAAAAAGTAACGAGGAGCAGAAGGGTGAGGGTTTAATAGGGCTCCAGGTGTGACCACTCGGGAACGGCCTTGATCTGCTGCCACATGTACTTTTCAAGCTTATTCGCCGACTTCGCGTACGGCGTGCTCTCGTTATTGTACCGCCGACAATTGTCGAAAATAAGCTTGGCGTCTTTGACGAAGTCCTCAGGGGTTCCGTATTGGTCGGCTTCGAGCTTGCTCTCCATGGTACTCAGGTCCATAGGCTCCTTGATGACATCGTAGTAGTCCGCCACGTCGTCCTTACTAACGGGATGCAAGAAGGGCCAAGCGGCCTGGTGGTTCTGCAGATCGTTGAGGAGGTGAAGGAGTTGGTTGTAGTTCGGTCCGTGGCGAGGTTGGCGGGCTAGCTCGTCCATGTCGGGGGACCAGCCCGAGTTCTTGATGGCCTCGATGGACAGGGGATCGATGGATGTGATGCCGTTCTTCCATTGTTTCGGCGGCTGGTGTACGATGTGGCTCTTGCTGTAGGCGCGGATCTTGGCCTGCACGCACTCCTTCTGCTTGAGGAGCATGCGGCCCATCTCGAGATATCTCACGCGCGGCAGCATCGAACACTGCATGATCGTCCCGCCCTCGTAGTCCTTGATGTAACCCATCCACACGCTCCGGTCCAGCGTGATCTCCTTGGTGAAGCCCTGCTTCTTGAAGTAGCCAATCGCATAGTTATCGGCATACGTTAAGAAGTGCATCACGTCGGACGTCGCTTTGACATAGTCTTTCAAGTGCGACATGAGATGCGCGCCATATCCTTTTACTTGCTGGTCTGATGAGATGGCGCAGAAGACGATTTCGGCGAATTGGCGACCTTTGAAGGGCCGGTATGTGATTCCTCCGACGACCTCGAGTGGTTTCTTGACGATGGCGATGGATAAGTGCGTGCGGTCGTAGACGAGTCGCGCGATGTAGTCCTTGGGCATCTTGGGGAGCTGCTTCTGGAAGATACATTTTAGGCCCGTGAGTACGATGAGGCTTTCGCGGTCGCCATCGTTGTTTACTACGCGGAATTCTATCTCGCCGTTGCGCTCTTCGATGACGGCGGGCTAGAAGAAAGAGAGGAGAGGGGTTAGTATATAAGAAAGAGGGCATGGTCGTGCATTTTGGGAGTGTGAATGCGTGAGTGAAGATATCGGAAATGCGCCGAGGGCAGGGGAGCGGCGCGTCTTCCTTCGCTTACTTTTTCGGGGAAGGGAATTGGTTTTATCGCGGGTTTCTGTTCTGGTTCGGCGGACTCGCTGTGCTTAATGCGCTTTGCTGCCGAGGGCGATGAGGGCTCCTCTGTCGCTTTGCGCTTGCTGTCTGGGGGAGTTGAATTGGCGTTAGCTTGGCGAGCTGGGCAGTTTCTTTATCTCCACACCAGAAGAACAACCGCTAGTCGATGCTGCATTTTCGGGAAAGGGAAACATACTATCATCCTTACTGGCTGGCAACATTGTGACACGGTTTTTTTCCGAGAAGTGGACGTTTCCTTTGAGGGGATCTCGAAGTGAAGTTGACGATACAAACGAACACGGCTTGTTCCGCATCGAAGGCGAGGGATATGTGGCCCGTGCGGTGACGCCTTTGCTTGAAAGCAGGAAGGAACAACCAGTTCAAGTTCAAGTGAAGATTTCACGTGATTTACTTAGCTTTGCATATGTAATCCAATGCATCGTCAAACTGGCACTAAATCATTTTCGGAATGGACACGTTCTGGAGCTTGCTTCATAGCTGTCCATACACATGTGCAGCTCATCGTGGGATTGCCTTGCGTGCGTGGAAGAGACAATCTAGACCCTCGACATTACGCAACCCCAATCAAATCATCTTTCCTATCCACAACGTCCCCATCGAAGAGCAAGGCGCGCTTTAGACCTTAGTATTCCGCCGGCGCTTTTCGAATTCTCTCTACGCCCTCGCCAATCGAAACACATGGACTCCTCTCTGGTCGAAATCTGGCAAGCTGCGCAAGGCAGCCGGTTCAATCCCACCGTGGGCAAGGATAGCCAGTTTCTCGTCGCCATTTTCCTGGTTCTCTTGGGCCTTGTTGGTTTCGGATCCTTCACTTTGAGTAGGTCGATCGAATACATTTTTGGTACCATTTTGTCCATTGCATGTGTAAAGACTGACACTGATGGTTCTCCAGACCGATCGTTTGCCAACATTGCCCTTTTCGGAATCCCGTCGTCTCTTGCGCTTGCGTACGTTTTATATGATTTTGGGCAGGATTGCCTCTACCGCGCGGACTTGCTGACATGTTCTTCCTAGCTTCGGAGTGGTCTACATGTTCTGCGCTGTGGGCGTTTACGTATAGAGAATCAGATACCCCTGGGTCTTTCGAAGAAGGGACCTTGCCAGTTTTCGGCGTTGTATTAATAGAGAGCGAATTTACTGAAGAACGAAGAAACCAAAAAAAAAAAACCAAGGGATTTTATTTTTCATCTCCCAATACCTTCGCCGAACATTTATCACTCCCCAATCTCCTGTGATCGTCTCCTGCGAGGATGTCTTCCCCTCGACAGCAGACACGCCCGATCCTGAGGGCGATTACGAGCTCAACCCGACCTTTATACCAAATATTGCGTTGCATCAACTTCTCCAACAAGGTCCATGTCGAGATATCCGAGGGCGGCATCCGGTTCGCGGCGGACAATGCCCGAGTCATGCAGGGTAGGACACATTCTCTCCCACCCTCCCCTCTCTCTCTGGTTCTCATTCGTTCGGACTCTAAATGCTAGTCCGCACATCTAGGTTCTGCTGTGATTGATAAGACTCTCTTCTCTTCATACATTTTCCAGCCCGCGAGCAGTAGTCAAGATGGCGAATCGGACGACGAACAGCCTCCACTCCCCTCATTCCAGATCAACCTGGGATTCCTCCTAGAAACTCTACAAATCCTAGGATCCATGGACGTTGCCAAGAAGTCGGAGCCGGAACGAGGGACCATCCTATCCTACAATAGAGGCGGCGCAGCTCCGTTTAGCGACCGGGCTCTAGGTCTTCCGGGAACATGTACGCTCACGTACGCGGAGGAAGGAGCACCTCTCAGCATCACGATTGAAGAGTTTGGGGTCAAGACCACCGCCAATCTAGTCACGTATCTCCCCGAAATCCCCGAAGATATCCCCTTTGATAGAGGTGACTTAGCGTTCAAAATCATCATGCAACCACGTTCACTCCTCGATGCCCTCGCTGACCTGGCAACCATGGCGCCCGAGAAGCTCCTAATTGAGGTGTCTGATACGTCTCCTTACCTTACGCTCTCGACAAAGGGCGGCGACTACGGGAGCTCGAGCTACGATTTCTCCAAGGGGAGACATCTCTTGGAGACACACGTCGTCCACGAGCGCTGGGTCCAGTCGTTCAAGTACGACTTCATCAAAGCGGCGAGCGAGGCCATGCGCATCGGGAACAAGGTGAGCTTCCGCGGCGACAGGCAGGGGGTGCTTAGCTTGCAGTTCATGGTGGAGGTTGAAGGGGCGGGCTCGAGCTTCTTGGACTTTAAGTTTGTGCCGTTTACGGGGTATGATGGTGAAGATGAGGAGGAGGGTGACGCAGCGGATCTGTATGATTGAGATGGCAATAGAAACGGGTCCTCGAGGTGTTTGTCCATGCGTGCGCATTTTGTGTTTGATATGGGATATGCTTTTTTGCCTCATATAAATAAGGGGAAGAGATCCATCTATCCATATTTCTATGAATCAGTTCGGCTCGGGGTCTATTAGGATTGCTTTTTGCGAGCACAAGCGACAGCCGCGAGCGCCATATCCCTGCCTCAGAACGGCGAGATAACTCGACCGCGGGAATGTATGCCGTTGGGCTTAGCTGAAGATGACTTGCAGAACAGCTTTATCTCGAGAATAGTTTGGCCTTGTCCAGGCACTATTCATGCACGATGTCCACCAATACGAGCCTGGTTTTGAGCCATGGCGAGCTCAACGGGGGCGAGAGCCGGGCTTTTGAGACAGATTGAGCCGAGACACGACCGGACTAGCACCTGTCTTACGATATCTCGTCGAGATATCGCCTTTATTCCTCCTTTCGGGCAGGAAGTTCCAGGGAATGTGTGTGCCGAGATTGGCGATTTCTGCTCTACCTGTAGTCTACGGTGTACGTTGACGGCCATGCTACTCGACACGGCTCGCACTATTTGGGGGACTTATATTGATGCACTTGCAGTGGATAGGAGGTGTGGGTTTGGGACTTGGATTCAAGACAGACGTCACCGGGAGAAGGGCCAGTCATACCGTAGAATAGTTTCCGTGCTTGTGTAGGGACGAGACATTGGCGATACATGAGCGGGTCTCCAAGCTATGCCCAGCTTGTTTTATTGATAATCTTTTTTTTTTTTTTTTTTTCTTCCTTACAGGACCGAGAAGCAAATGGAGATTCCGGACTCTTGTAGAAACGAGTGAGTTAGTACTACAAAAAGGGCTCCAGAGCCTATGGTGAGGCGATGCCCAATAGTCTAGCTTCAGGACTTGACGCTACCTTCCTTCACCTTGGCCCCTTTGATATATGTCGAGCTTTTTACGGATTCATTCACCATCGGTCGCGAGGCCCTTCATCACCACTACCGTCTCAGTAACACTCCCTTTCTGATCTCAGACTCGCCCCCAAAGAAAATCCCACAATGTCCAACAGTCCCTCTCAGTCCCGGTCCTGCCTCCCCCTGACCGCGGCCGCATACTGGCTCGGCACCCTCTTCTACGCCCAGTTCTTCTCCTCCCCCACCTCATCCAACGGGCCCGAGCAGCCCCCGGGGACCCAACATGCGTACCCATCGCTACCAGCCTTCAAAAAGGCAGCCTACATACCCCTGCACGCGGGTATATCCTTTCTCAAAACCGCGACTCCTCGATTCATGCGTGAAGCCAACGCCATTCTTTGAGACCATCCGTATCTTGGGGGCCGAAAGCGAGTTTTTTTTTTTTTGGGGGGGGGGGGGGGGGGGGGGTGGGGGCTATACTGAACAAACACTCGATATGGTTTGCACATTGAACGCACCAACGGGGCGTCTACCAGGACACAATGGTCCCGGACTTGTTTTTTTTCTAAAAATCTGTTTGAAGGAGAGACCGAAATCCGAGAAAACTCAAACCAACATGGGGGACCATTGGGGTCCAGTGGCTTGGAGGCTGGGTTTGTTTATATCACAACCGGAGGCGGCACCATGTTGGGTGGCACTGCAAAAATGAGGCCAGGCCGACTTCCCGTCTAGCGGATGGGAGTAAACTTTTGTTTAGAGAATAACAGGTGGTGAGAGGGTGAGGGTCCTGTGAGTGTTGGTTCTTCTTGATGGGTTCGAGTCAGGCGATGAGTGGGCGGGAATAACGCTTGATCGTATTCACCATCCCCCTTGCATCAATATTCAATATTGTCGCACTTCACAGCCCCGAAAAGACTGGCGGTGTTGTCTTCAGGACCAACATTGTACCACGAGATGTTATCAGTTGGGAAGTAAATTTAGCCAATGCTCCACTCTAGTATTTTTGAATAATTAATATGTAAAACTACACCACGATTAAGGATCACGTTGGAGATGGGCTCTAGAGCATCATGATATCATCAAAAAAATCCACCAGTAATCTGCACACAAGGCGGTGCGGATACGCTTTGAGCTCTCTCCGCGTCTATTCTTAAACTACCTACACTAGGCTTTTTCTTGTTTTGTGGAAGCGCGGAGCAGCGTGGCTGAGTCTTGATCGGTCCATCCTACCACCGGGACTGCGGCAGGCAAAATATCCCGTTCATGCCAGTCATTCCTCGATTTAAGCGCGTAAGCCTCGATTGTTATCGGATGAAATATAGGATTTCTTACTCGGGAAAAATAGGATTAGAAGAGTGGGCATCCTGGGAGTAACCTAGGATGGTTTAAGGCTGTTATAATTAGATCTACCCGCTGTATGCGTACATCTGTCTAAGCCCAAGCAATGCTTTGACTTTTCAACGTGGCCTGGCCTGGCCATAACCCTGCTACTGAGTAGATACAATGCATAAATAATTCTTTTTGGGGGGGACGGAGTTTGGGGGAATTGGTTTGACAAGATGACGTCGTCAAACAGGGTGAGCCTTGCATCTCGTGGTCTCGGCTTGGGGACCATCGAGCGAGATCGAGCCGACTTAACTCTGATCCCGAAATGATACTCCTCTGCAAAAACGTAAGAGATCTCTCGTGCTTTCAGAAGCGTGTCCCTCGTCCGAAAGTACAACCCTTCAGGTCCACTATCCATCTCCATCTCCATCTCCATCTCTATCTCCATCTCCATCCCCGGCCCACGGGAATACCGTTTCCGTAATACGGGGTGAAGCTTTTTTTGGTTTGGCTATCTTCTTGAAATTCGCTTCAATTTGTATCTGCCAGCTCGTCCCTGTCAATATAGTTCCACTCGGATTTTCTGCTCAGGGATCTGTTTGCCTGGCGACGTGAAGCAAACCGGGGCAATCAACGGGCCCAGAAGAATACAAGGATGCATATCACTTGAGAGTCCGTAATGAAAGGAAAACGCCGGATTTGTTTCCTTCGTCAGTGACGACGATTCCTCTGATGATTGTTGACGGGCTGCACCTTTCCGCGACCGGCGCATAGGCCTGGGTCGGGTCCCGTTTGGCCTGGGCGGCGGGGTGCGGCACAGGCGCAAGTTTCTTCCGCAGGTACTGTGTGGAGGGAGAATGTAATATCGATCGATCATACATTTTGCAGTGGTTGCCCTTATGAAGAGAGCCGGCGTTTGGTGGCTTCGGGATCCTGGCCTTTCTGGAGACATGGGTAGTTTTCTGGTCTTTTGCTTCGCACTGGAAAATTAGAGATGTGTGGAGAAGATGGCGTTTCCTTCCTTGCAAGTCGCGGCTCTTGTTTGGCGATCCTTCGGCGCTGATGCGCTTGCTACTTCGTAGATGGACCCTAGAAAAAGAAAGTTGCGACTTGGCGCGGACGAAAGGATTCCCGCCCGCGTGGCTGTGAGAAGCCGATCCTTGGCGTTTCTGTTTCGACAGTGGTTACAACCTTCTCGATCTCCGGGGGTGTTATCGGGCCCTCCCGGCCATGGGATTGATAGGATTGGAGGACATATGAAATATATTCATATCCCCAGACATCTGTTTGACAGTACCGAGTCTTTAGAGCTCCGTGTTTCTTCTAGTTCGCTCCAAAGGGTGCCCTGCAGGTCCACTGGTACGTGTAAATTGAACGAGAGAAAGTCTCTTCCGAAAAGCTGGCTGGAGAGAGATTTAAAGTCGCAGGAGTCATCAGCTACCAATACGACGCAGCAAATCGATCAATATCAATTTGATCTCTATTGATGCACCTCGCCGCTCGTCTGCCCCATCCTGTGATACCCTCGGATCCAATGAAGGTTTGGCAAAGTCGCGGTCCGTCGATAAAACGTCCTGCACTGGCCCGAAACGCGGCACCATTTCATCTCGTTTTTGTTCTTCTCTACCTCTCCTCTCTGGTCCCATTCCTTGCCTTGTTCTCGTAACTCCTTTGACGTATTAGTTTATCTTAAACGCTGTTGGACACTACGTTGCAGATGTTAGGATTGGGGGAAACGGGGCAAGGCACATGATGCAAGGACTGGGAGAGATACGAAACGCCCGTCCGGCTTCAGCAGCCTTTGAGATCAATGGCTGGCGATGGAGATGGTTCAATGGTCCGATAGAGCGGGCCACCCTTCGGCCTCTGGGTCCTTGATCCCTGCCAAAACTGAGGATCGTCAGTACTACATCAGTACACCTAGTGTCCATTGCCCCTCACGACGAACCCGTTATGGTGACCGAGGCCAGGAATGAGTGTGTATGAATTGGAAGAATGAAACGACATCATCGATACTAACAGGGAACTACTTTGCACAGTTTCCGTACTAAACTGCGTCGTAAATCGTCAATGATGCCTTGTTCCAGGAACTCGTGCGCCGGAGTTTTTGGTTTTCATTCCTAGTGCTTTCCATTCCTCGGTATTTCTTATTTCTCAACTCCAGCGGGACAGGGATGGAAAGGATGGAGCCGAGCAGAAACTAACAAGAGGTCGTGGGGGCCAGAATCAGAAACGTGCTCGCTTCGACTTGGGGGGCCCAACAAGCTTGAGAACAGGCATGGGGACAAGCACGAGGGCAGCAAAGCGGAGCGGGGGAAGCTGACATTGAAGTTTTGTTTTATGATTTTTTAATTGACAAATATTTATTTATATTTCGTATTGAAAACAAGGGACCTGAGAAGAAGGATGAACTGGGAAGACTTTAATCTGGAAGTAGTTTTGAATGGGGAGCAAGTGTCCAGTCCACGAACCTCACAGATCGATCAAAGCAATCAAACGCACGTGCGCTCTTCCAACGATCCGCTCTGTCCACTACTTTGTAGTGTAGACTCTTCTATTCTTCACTGTTGCAAGCCATCAATTACATCCTCTGTTGTCTGTCGAGAGAGCATCACCCAGCCACCAGACCTTTCTAAAATAATCGACCCAGTTCCACATTCAATGGCCCCCAAACGACCATCACAAAGAAACCTCTGAAGAGGGCCTTTTTTTTTTTTTTTCCCTGAAATCAATGGCACTCTGACAGTTTTGTACGTCGTG